AATGGAAATACTCTTCTTGAACTGTCTATTTGAAATGTCTGTAATAAACAATTCCTTTTTTTCAAAGTATAAATATAAACTAAAGTTTTGTTTTCATAAGCATCATATGCGGATCCAGGGAGTCTCAGACCCCCTCATTTTTGGTCGGGGGAATTTGGTTGATTATATATAAGAAATAGTTGAAGCATGACTGGAGCAGTCCCCTTATAACATTTTATTTGGATCTGCTACTGTATTACACATTATTTCTGTAATATTACTGATCTACGATGATTTAATATTACAGATTTCTGAAATATTATTGAATGTTTTAAAATAATTTTATATTACATATTTCTGTAATACTATTGAGGTAAGGGGACTTTATATTACACATATCTGTAATATTATTGGTATAAGGAGACTTTATATTACACATATCTGTAATATTATTGAGATTAGGGGACTTTATATTACACATATCTGTAATATTATTGAGATAAGGGGACTTTATATTACACATATCTGTAATATTATTGAGATAAGGGGACTTTATATTACACATATCTGTAATATACATTTGTTATAGATTCAATAGATACTACATTGTGTCTTGAATGCAGATTTGTCTCATTGGTACAATGTACTCAATAACACTCATACAAGTTATCTTTGTATTTATATAACATAGTAAAGATTTAATAGTCTTAACAACAAGCAGTCTGCATCTTTAAAACATATATTACGCGGGTTTTAGTTCTGGTTATTTATTAAAATTTATTATAAAAATATCAGAAGTAATTCTTACTGTAAATAAATAATTCTGTTGTTACCTTCAGAAGGTTTAAATCTTTGAATTTCGAATAATTTTTTTTCATTTAAGTGAAACAGGATTGCTAATTGACACAAACTATTTATGAAATGTGTCATTACTCACTAATCATAATGATGTGATATCTAAAGAATTGCCAAGGAAAATACTTCATGCCAGACCTCAATATTATGATGTTATCAACTATGGTCATAGTATGGCTTCAATAATGAGCAAAACCATGTAACAATTAAGACTCAATCAGAAAAGATTTTATAAAACAGTTCAATTAAGAAACTTGACTGTCCAAACAGAACATATATGTACGTCTCTGATCTGAGAAACAAATGAAAAGCTTTGGGGTTAGGGTGGGAGGCTGGGACAGTGAGACCAAAAATTCAACATTTATTTAGCATGTTTAGAGATGTATATATATATATGCGAGTGTGGATGGTAATAGTGTGTCAGGTCATCGTTCCTATAGTTCTATATCTTTTATTTTTTTTTACCATTTCACTCTATTTCTTTTTTCTTCTGTCAATTGGTATCTTTCATATTTGTCCAACATGCATGAAATATTTGCCACTGGACGTTAAGCAACCAACAATCAATAAATCAATCTATTCTTTATATTTCCTCATTGCTTTATTCTGTTATTTATATTGTTTGGTCCCATTATTCTCTTTTTTGAAAATCCCATACATATCCTCATGAATGGTGACCCAATCATAGCCTCATACATGTACATGGTAATTTTAACAGGGAAAATAAAATACACATATGTCTCTGGTTTTAAAAACAGATTTTAGATAGTAGTTTTTTTCATGATCAGAAGAGTTCACCAGTGACCTGTAAATCGATCTTAATCTGTGATATTGACTTGTATCAAAAACCAATCAAAATATATTTACTATTCCAATAAACATGTCAATATTTACACGTCCACCGATAAGTTGTCATGTAATCAGGCAACTTGAAGCTGGGATTAATTAACGGTCAGTTAAGAAGTAAAATCAAGCTGTGATTAATATTTCCTTTCTAGATAAGCAGATTCTATAGCAATAAAACTAGGTCATTCATGATTTTGTGCCCCCTTTAAATCCATCATTGATCACTTCAATAGAAACGAGGGCATTTCATATCAAAAAAATATTGGAAGAAAAAAACAACATTAGAAGAACAATTAGGTCTTTCCGCAGCGCTGCAGAAATATTTCCGAGCTAATTTTACTAGTATTGATCTGGTAATGTTCATTCAAGAAACTGATCGATCTGTTGAGATTTCATTGTCCCGGTAGCGGATTATTGATTTCTTGTTGTGAATGACAGCTTATCGAGTCACGTGATTGAGCCGTCGGTACATGAAAAGGTAAAAAGTAAAATCACAAAAATACTGAACTCCGAGGAAAATTCAATCGGAAAGTCCCTAATCACATAGCAAAATCAAATGACAAAACACATCAAACGAATGGACAACAACTGTCATATTCCTGACTTGGTACAGGCATTTTCAAATGTAGACAGAATATAGAATACCGTAAAAATTGCTGGATTTGATATTAAAAAATTGAAAATGCAAAAAATAATTATTGTTTACGAAAAGTTATTATTAAGTAGTCAAAAATTAGTGTTGAAAATAAAAACGAAAATAGCCGAATTGCCGGTGCTTAAATTGTTCCCCAACTGCAAGAAAACGTGTCGAAGGTTAAATTAATATATCATAAATAATATATTAGTATAATAGTTCCAGTTCGTTCATATAAATTTTTAAACATTGTAAATCTCGAGTTGTAAATAAACAACATAGGCTATTTTTAGTTAGCGCGATCAGCGTGTTTTCATTGGTTGTTTTTATAAATAGATGTCTGCCTAGACCAATGAAAAAATTAATATCGAATTCAGCTTTCAGTCTTAACCAATGAAAAAAAATCTATATCAATTGTCTGTCAGAACCTTACATCAACATATTCTGATTTAAAAAACTTGTACATGACTATTTCTGTAATAATTCTTCTTCGTAAAAAAAATTTATCGAGTTGTGCCAGGTTTTTTTGGAAGGATATCGAAGGTAAACGCGTACTCGGGGCAAGCCATTGTTATATGAATTTTGGAACACACGTGGTTTTTAATTTCAATAAAATTTCGTGACTTATATGTTTTCTAATTTTGACATTTGATTCTATAAATTATTTTCTTTAAATCATATATAAATTTGGATATAGGGGACTTTTTCAATAACTATCGAAATCCTAGATTTAATAATTGAATTATTTATTTGCTTTACCACACGTACTTTCATTTATTTATATTTTTTATTTAATCTGCCAAAGGCTTGTTATTTTTTTTAGTCACTGCAATGACATATGAATTTTTAAAATCCTCCTCCCCAGAATATCAAATGGTCGTCCCCTAACGTGAATAAAGTTAAAATGAAAAGAAAACTTAATCATGTTAATATTCAACCGCTATATGTTTGATTTCACTTCCTCCCAGCAAGGACGTATATTTTAGTGATATACGTTTCATTAATTCAAAAACATCTTTGCACAAAACATATTGGTTTACTATGATTTTCCGATTCCGGAAACTTCAAAATCCCGTCCTTAAAATATTGTCCATTAAAAAGACGATTTTCGCTCCCACTACAATTTGTTTTAAAATTTTCTTCGGTCAAAAATAGTTTTGTATTCTCTAATATCAATCAATGGCCAAAAGAAAAGAAAAAGATCGGCTTAATAACCCCATAGATGTATAAACCCATACATCTATGCTAACACAAACTCCGAAAATCGGATTTAGAAAATAAAAAGAAAAAAGTTTAACACTCATGAAGCCCTAAAACAATTTTGTATTTGAATTTTTATAACATCATAATTATGATTGCGTAATCAATCTTTCCGATTTTCCTATTTTTACAAACGTGAAAGAATGTTAGTTAATGAACAATAATAAACTCATAATAACACATTGATTTGACAAGCTTATGTTAAAATGCGGCAACTCCTTTGATGTTTCTTAATTTCTCAGATCTCGCATGAACACTATTCATATTGTAATCTTTTATTTTCATTACAATGACTATTTTCAAACTACATGTGCAGTTACATAAATTTTTACCGGGAATTATTATAATTTAAATACGGTGACCCCTTTGATGTTTCTGAATTTCTCAGCTCTTGCGTGAAAACAACTATCTTTTTAAAAACAATTACCTTTTTAGTCTTTTATTTTCATGACAATTAAACAATTAATGTTCTTCATTATGTACAAACTACATTTGCAGTAACAAACATTTTTACCGCAAATTAGTAATACAAGTTAAATCAATGATTCCTTTGATGTTCTGAAGTTCTCAGCCCCCTTCCGTGAAAAACAATTTCCTTTTAATTATTTTATTTTCATAACAATCAAACAATGTTTTTCAATATGTACAAACTACTTGTGCACTAAAAACCATTTTTACCGCGAAATATTATAAGACACACATGAGTTGTTCCCCATGATAACCACGTGGATATACGTTATGTGCCCCCTTTTAACTGCATACCGCTAACAAGATAAACATCACGGTGCAATTGCACCATGTCTAAAAATGTCACAAGTCATTACACTATCAGAATAAAATACTTTTATTTACTTAAAAATTCTATTAGCTTCACAATATGATAAAATGTTTCAACTTACTCAGTACTGGTAGCGTTTTCCATCTCCATATTTGGTTGCTCTGGCGTCTCCATCTGATTGTGCAGAAGTGATGAAACTGATTTTGATCCATCTTTTATTTACCATGAAATTTGATACTAAAACTACGTCATGCTGTCTCCAGCCTCGAGTTAAAGGCAGCATTAGTGATTTTTAGCCGTATGTTACAGTTCTATGTAATATAGGCATTTTCTAGTAATATTACTGTTTTCAGTAATATAGAGACTATATTACACATTTCAGTAAGATAACAATATTACAGTTTTTAGTAACATAAGAATTATATTACTCTTTTTTGTAATATTACTTTTACCTGTAATATTATATAAAAAAGTAATATTACAGTCTTCAGTAATTGCCTGGACTGTGCTTTGCAGTATGGGTTTAGCTCAATTTTGAAGGCCGTACACATTGACATATGGTCTCAGGTGGAGAGGTGTCTCATTGGCAACCATACCAAACCTGCTTAATTTTATATGTACTATGATTATGATTTATATGAACTTCACCTTTCTGGCATGCCTTTTCTAAATGATGTGTAAACGGAACCTGATAACCACATAAGTTCTTGTATGGCGTGATATTCTTCTCTCAAATATTTATTGACATCTTGTATAATATCTAAATAGCGTCTCTGTTCTGTTGAAAGTTCAAAATAAGTGTCGTCCATCTCTAAACTACCAAAGTTTTGATGTCCAAAATTTTGTCCTGTAGAATCGACAACATCTGCTCCTAAAGCTATAAAAAGAAAAAAAAATGTTAACAACTTAAATCTATTTGGTTCACCACATTTAGATTTTAGTATATTATTTTTCTGTGGAAAATAAAACTAACATTAAAATCTATCATAAGTTTTCTGTGATAATAGCAAACCTGACAAACTTTAGCCAGAAGAAAGCAAAGGTTTTTCTTTCTAGTAAATCAATAAAGACATGAAGAAAAGAACTTCTGAATACTTAGCTTTTCAGACAGTAAATCATTAGTATCTTTTATATTAAAACAATTTACATTTTTGTCTACTGTTAAAAACTGCTTGAGATCCTGTTTTTTTTTCTTCATTCAGTTCTGTAAACAAATGGTAAATATCTTAATTGTTCCCCACGCGACCCATTTCTGGGAACATAAAAATACCCAGTGTCCGGCCATCTAGTCTTGTAAGCGCTCTCACATGTACAATTCTTGCCAGATTTTTATCAAAGTTATAACATAGGTTTATATCAGCAATGTCTTGGACAAAGTTCGAAAATCAGAGCCGATCACTTTTTATAAAAGAGTTATGCTTCTTGGAAATATTGATTGTATAGAAAACAAATTGCATTGAAAGCCCCTCTCTCATGTACAATTCTTGCCATATTTTTTATCAAATTTATATCAAAGGTTTATATTCACAATATCTTGGACAAATTCAAAAATCAGAGCTGGTTAATTATTTTTAAAAGAGTTATGACCCTTAAAAATATTAACCATATGGAAAATTGCATTGTTAGCACTCTTATGTCCACAATTCTTGGCAGATTTTTATGAAATTTATATTAAAGGTTTATATCCGCAATGTCTCCGACAGGTTCCAAAATCAGTGCAGATCAACTATTTTCAAAAGAGTAATTTATTCAATCAGTATTTATTGTCTGGGTTAAATTCTATGTGTAATGTATAATTTGAAATGTGATACTGTTGTCAGGTCATTAAAGATTGCATATTTTGGCTTTAATATTGATTCACTTATAGGGTCTTTGCATTGGAATTAAACATATTTATTCTAAAACCAGTTGTTGGCATGACACGGGTAATGTTCTTCTCATATATTCTATGATGGTATAATACTAAACCCTTAACAGGAGGGATTGTGCCTGATATTCATATGATGAAGACATAATCTTTCAATCAGTTTAATTGAGGTCTGGAGCTGGCATGGCAGTAACTGCTAGTAGTCTGTTGTTATTCATGTATTATTGTCATTTTCTTTATTTTCTTTTGTTTCCTATTCTGACATCTGACTCGGACTTCTCTTAAACTGAGTTTTACTGTGCGTACTGTTGTACGTTTGTTTTTCTACATTGGCTAGAGGTATAGGGGAGGGTTGAGATCTCAAAAAACATGTTTAACCCCACCGCATTTTTGCGCCTGTCCCAAGTCAGGAGCCTCTGGCCTTTGTTAGTCTTGTATCATTTTTAATTTTAGTTTCTTGTGTATAATTTGGAGTTTAGTATACGTATGTATCCATTATCACTGAATTAGTATACATATTTGTTTAGGGACCAGCTGAAGGACGCCTCCGGGTGCGGGAGTTTCTCACTGCATTGAAGACCCATTGGTGGCCTTCGGCTGTTGTCTGCTCTATGGTCGGGTTGTTGTCTCTTTGACACATTCCCCATTTCCATTCTCAATTTTATTAAATGATGAAAACAATTTTATATGGAAGGAACATATGTACATACATGTATATACATGAACTATAAACATGTTAGAACTTTCAATGGTTTTTTTCCCATGAATACTTACCATTACATCTCATTGCCACTGTTATATCAATATTGATCTTCAATTTTCTAAAAAAAATAATAAGAAAAATTTATAAATGGCAGTCAGAACATATATTGAAGTCTGCACTATGCAGTTTAACTGTATTAATACCAAAACGAAAGTGAGAAGGTTTGAAACAAAATTAAAGACTCAGTCAAACATTATCAGAATTAAAAGTCATTTGTGTGATAAGTATACATGTAGTCTAAGGGATGTATGGCAACTACAGACCTTATTAATCCTCTAAAATTTCCCCCAAAATTTAAATGAAATTACAAAAGACCAATCTCAAGTATCTTGAGTTGTTTTTTATGAATGAGTTACACTGGTTCACCAGCGGAAAATCAGCGTAAATTACGTCATTGAACAGTCGATTCTTAGTACTTCTTACTATGACGTAAAAACATAAGTATTATGACGGAGGAAATATACGGGAATGTTGATGACTTTAAAAGTCGTCTATTGGAAAAATCATTTACTGTATGAATTATAGCCATGATCCCACCAACAGCACATCTTGCAATTACTGTGGTATCATTATTATTCATGGGATACCAATTTCTGTGGTTTTCACGGGTACAGGTGAACCAGAAATTTAAATATTCAACAAAGTACGAATTTTATATAGGCTTGTATGCACACTTTGGTAAGACCACAAAATCAAATATCTACAAAAATACATTTTTTCTTAATCCATGAAATTGGTACCCACGAAAAAAATAAATGAATCAGCAGTAACCACTGATTACATGTTCTTGTTACAGCATGATATTTTACTGCATGGCACTCCAGTTTCAATCATGGTTGCCATGAAACAAATTGTACAAATGTTTAGAGATACTAAGAGCGTCATATTAAACATCAGAAATTACTTTACTTTTGTTATCCGACTCACCCATCCATTTGTGTGTCAACTTCATAGTCAAACTTCAGTTCTGTCCTGGCATAATAGATGACCTCAGAAAGCACCAATATGATGATTACGGCAAACACTGCCAAAGATACTGAAATGAAATATGAAATGTTTTCAAAATGTTTTAATGCTTTTCACTGGTCAGTGGTTGCATGGTTTCCACTGGGTCAATTATTTTCGTCACCTCTTTTGCCACTTTCAACATTTTTTCTCCAATTTATTTTCCTTTTCAGAAACAAACAAATTTCAATTTGCAGCATAGTTGTCCCATGTACATTTACCCCACATCTTTCTTTCATAATCTATATTTTCCAAAATGTACACTAAATTAGACTAGTAGATAAAGTAGAAAGTTAAACAGCATTGCTACAGAAATCATCATGAAATGAAGCAATGAGTCTGAATTAAGTATATTTGTCAGTTTAGTTTTTTTAATATTTTGCCTGCTGAAACCCTCTTTCTCACTCAACAGATTATATAGGTACTGGCTATAATTATCAATTTTATTACACTTTTAGAACAAATATTTATAATTCAGTACACTTGTAAATATGATCTGAGGAGGATAAAACTTGTTGGTGTGTACAAAGTTTAATTTATACTGAATTTAAATGCAAGACACACAGACCTGCAAAACTTCAATATACATGTATATGGTTTTCATTACATGTACACTTCACACAAGGATTTTAGGTTAAAATAACCCTTGGTTTTAAATGATTGTTGTGGTTGTTAGTAAAGCACTTTAAAATCTACTTGTATTTAACACAAATTATATGACAGGCTGTTCAATGAGATCATTATCATTCAAAATCACTATTAATGATTAATCACTCTGATTCACAGTGAAGCACTTAACACCAGGTAAAAGGGATTATTACTAAAAAAAAATTAGAAATAGTTCTGTTGTATTGGACTGCTTGATGTCAATGTATATGTTTAATGTTGATAACCAAAACTATTAAAGTAAAAAAAACAGATTTTTTTTATCTAAATTTTGCTCAGGATGCTATATTTATTTAGGCAGATTCTTCTTCTTCTAATCTTCATATTGCACTCCCAGCTATGGGACACCAAGAAGTCAGTATGTTTAACTTCTGGTCTCTCAGTTAATAAAATGGTGCAAATACGATGCAATTGAAAATGTTTTGGACACTAAAAACTGTGTAGGTGAAGTGCAGATAACGATAAAATCTAAAAATATTGGTGCTCTGGAAAACACGTCTTCATTGTGCTCTTGTGCTTTCAAAGTTTGGCAAAAACTCCATTAAGGTTTGAAAAAAAAATATTGAATAATTCTAGTTTTAAAACCTTTAACCACAGACTGAACCTATATGTTGACTGAAAAAAAAATAAGTCCATTTATTAAAAATCTAAATTTTACCTGAGATGGTTTTCTCTTGATAATCTTGATAATGAAGAAGCCTATGTAAAAGTTTCCTCAAATTCCATAAACTGGTTAAGAAAGGTTATTGCCATTTTATTTACAAATACAGATGTAAATTACAAATACACCTGTAATTATTGTTGAGTGCTAAAAACTATATACAAATGTACTCCATTGAGAAAAACTTATTAAAGTGTTCACTTCAGTAAGGACACTTAAATAGTTTACAAGTGGATTACAAACTTCATTTACTAGTGAACACAAATCTGTGTGTTAGGTACAAATACTTCATATTTTAACAAATTCTATCAGCGAATATAGTTCACAGATAATTTAAATACTCGGTATCAAGTCATTTTCAATTAAACACTGACAGAGCTACTTTAAGTACCCTTTTATTACATCATCAGTTATATGGAAATTAACAATATTCATGTATTCAAGATGGACTAATCTATTATGGAAAATAAACAATATTCATGTATTTAAGATGGAATAATCTCTTATGGAAAAAAACAATATTCATGTATTTTAATATCAAAGTCAATTAATCATAATAATTTCTCCTATTATTTGACTTATATTACATATATGTGTTATAGGACAATGATGCCACCTTATAACCTAGAATATCTTTGTTGGTCTAGTTTTATATCATAAACATAATAATAGACCTTCATTTGAACAAGGAATCTAAAAAATGAACAGCAAGGAAACTAAAAAGCTACATATATATTTATTTTATTATAAAATAAATGGAGAATGTGTCCATGGGACACAGATGATGCCCCACTTGTATAAAGGGACATAACTCAAGAACAGTAAAAGAAACGCCACCTAAATTCGAAATTGATATGAGTTTGTGGTAATAAGCATTGTGTATAAGTTTCATAACATTTGGTTGAGGCAAACTTAAGTTAGAGAACGGAAACGAAAAATTCAGCAATTTTTTCCATTTGTAAAAGGGGCATAACTCTAGAATGCTAAAAGTGACAACACCTAAATTCGAACGTGATCTGTGTTGTGTGGTAATAAGCATTGTGTATAAGTTTCATAACATTTTGTTGAGGCAAACTAAAGTTGGGATTTACATACGGAAGGACAAGGGTAACAAATAATACCCCCTCTGGTGACGGCGGTGGCATAAAAATACATTTAAATATTTTCTAGGTTTCAATGGGAACTTTGTTCAACCAATGCCACCTGGACATCTGTAAATCATTTGTAGTCCTCAAGTTTCAAAAGTTTTTGTCTTTTAGATTTATGAAAATGGCTAAATCAAAATCTAGGATTGCATCAATCTGCTTTCCATATTTTCTTCCAATTGTTACCAAATGAGAACCTGGTGAGCTAATTGACTTGTCTTTTGTAATCATTCTTAAATATATATATATTTGTAACCAATCAGAATTAAATCTGTTTGTACAGATAAATGAAGTTTCTATCTCTCTTAGTAAAATCATTTTTTCAATATTAGATAAAATACTGTTAATACTTAAAAAATTTGGCATCCAATCTTTTGCAGGTTTTAAGGTCAAAATACAATTTTAATAGTTACAATTTTTAAGTTTTTTTAAGAACTGAAAGACTAGCAATTTAACTTAAACATGATATATATCGCCCTCCAACATTGTGGTCAATCTTTCCAAACACCAGTTAACAGAAGCTGAAACATCTCTTCTCTCGAGAGGCTTAAATTTCTGTCCTTTACCTGCCCCTGTCAATGAAACTAAATTGTCGGAAGACCTTGACAATTTTGCCAGAAGTCTACGCATTAAGGAATATTTCGCGTCGAAGGAGAACAACAACAGATGCTCGGATAGCGACTCAGAAATTTCAGAAGACGAAAACAACTACAAATTTATAAAAAAGAGTACTTGGATCCCTAAACCGAGCAAAAATGCCACCTTGGAATCATTTATTGACAATTTTAAGTCGGACATTATTAGAAATACAAGAAATAACAATAAACCTTTTGACAATCTTACCAATGAAGAACGAACTGCACTGAAAAACTTACGATCTAACGACAATATCGTCATTAAACCTGCAGACAAAGGCAGTGCAGTGGTTGTCATGGATAAATCTGCCTATATTCAAGAGGCTGAACGAAAACTTGGCGATGCAAGGTTCTACCAAAAACTAGACTCTGATCCTACAACATCTTTTAGCAGAGAAATAACTGATAGTTTGGTAGAAATGCACAACGATGGTTTCATCGATGAAAAGACTCTAGAATATTTGAAACCAGAAAATCCAAAACCGGGCAGATTTTATCTTTTACCTAAAATTCATAAGGCCAATAACCCAGGAAGACCTATAGTTTCAGCGAACGGTCATCCGACGGAAAAAATATCGGAATTCGTTGACTTCCATCTTCGTCAACATGTTGAGGACTTACCATCTCACATCAAAGATACTACCGATTATCTTAGAAAATTGCAGGCCTTAAATCCACTCCCCTCCGACACGACACTTGTCTCTATGGACGTCACCTCCCGCTACACGAATATTCCACATGCAGATGGCATTGATGCATGTAAAGAAGTTTGGAATTCCCGACCAGTGAAATATCCACCTACTGAATGCCTGGTCAAAATGCTCACGCTGGTACTCAAAAACAACAACTTCACTTTTGATGGAGACCATTATCTGCAAGTTAATGGAACTGCTATGGGCACCAAAATGGCTCCATCATATGCCAACATATTTATGGGCAAATTAGAAAAACAACTCCTTGAATCTTCCATCGAAAAACCGCTTTCCTGGTTTAGATTTATAGATGATGTGGATATGAAATGGAATAAAAGTGACGAGGATTTAGATACATTCATCACTCATGCCAACAACATACATCCAAGTATCAAATTTACTCATGAGAAATCTAAATCCAAAATCACCTTCCTCGATACCTCCAGCTCGCTCACAGATGGCATCATATCCACTGATCTATATTCTAAGCCTACTGACACTCACCAATATCTGTCCCCTAAAAGTTGCCATCCTGCTCATTGTACTAAGAGCATCCCGTACAGTCAGGCACTCAGAGTCAAGCGAATATGTTCCAACTCAGAAACAACTAAAAAACAACTACGTCAACTCGAAACCCGCTTGAAGAGAAGGGGCTACAAACACAAAACTATCCAAAAAGGCTTTCAGAAAGCGGAAACTATCCCAAGGAGTAAACTGTTAGAACACAAATATAAAAAGAAAAATAAAAGGACTCCATGTGTTCTTACTTACCACCCATCTCTCAAAAACAGCTTCGGTGTCATTCGTGAGCATTGGAAAACAGTTGAAAAGAATTCCAAACTATCCAAGATTTTTCCCGAGCCTCCCATGATAGCTTTTAGGCAACCCAATAGTCTGCGTAACCTGCTGGTGCGGGCTGAAGTGTCTGATAATAGAAGTACTTCTGGAGAATGTCGCTCGTGTGATGAAAAACGCTGCAAATGCTGCCTACAGATGCATCACTCATCAACTTTTCACAGTAAGGCAACCGAAAATAACTATAAGATATTTTGCAATGTTAACTGCAAAAGTATGAATGTTATTTACATTCTAGAATGTTCGGTTTGTGGCCTCCAATATGTTGGTGAGTCAAAGCAGCCTTTCCACAAACGCCTCAATGGCCATAGGAGTGATATCTCTAAGAAGCCACTTCTCCCAGTTTCTCAGCATTTCAGACAGTCTGGTCACACACTTGATGACTTTAACCGCATGAAGATCCTAGTGATTGAACAGAACATTCACTGGAGTGATGCCCAGCGACAGGTTCGGGAAAGCTTTTGGATAAAGGAACTAAATGTGCATCATCCAAACGGCATCAATAAAAAATACTAAGTTTTATTTTTCACTCATTTTGGGTTGTAAATATACACAGTCACGTATATTTGAGTATTGAGTTTTGTTTTATATTATGATGTTCAGGATTTTGGATTAAATCAATAGACCAAAACTTACCTGTATTATTGAGCTATTTTTATACATATTATCAGTATTGTTAAAATAATTGACACCGAAGAAGGCTATTTGTTAAGCCGAAATATTTGTCAACACGATTTATTAACAACATCTTCGTATAATACCATCTTATATTAGTATCGTCGTGCAAATCTCTAGACTTATATAATTTTTTTCCTTATCTGCACAGTATCGTCTATTCTAGACGATCCGGTACATAGTAAATTTGCTGGTTGGTCCTTTTTATAGACTTCTATATATATATATATATATATATATATATATATATATAAAGTAAGGAGATGTGGTATGATTTCTAATGAGACAACACAAATATACCATACATAACTGTAAAATATAAGGGCATACACCATGAGGACAGGGACAGGGAAAACTTCAATATTTTGCAAAATCAAACCAAACACTATACATGTAGATAGATACTGTAAATTCAGAAATTATTGCGATGTTTTTATTATTCCGAAAAATGCGACAGGGTTACAATAGCAATAATTAAAACTTGCATTTTGACATTTTTTATATAAATAAAACAGGATTTTTCTGAATATCGCAAAAATTAAAATTGCATTTTAGTCTAAAATGACAAAATCGCAATAATAAATTCACGCAATAATTTCTGAATTTACAGTAGTCTTGAATTTACTTAATTTGAGTAAGAGTTATTTCCCTTTGAAATAATGTTGGAGGTTACCAGATTCAACTGGTTATACTGACTGCTAAACTTTAAAAATTTGTAAGGGGTTCCGCGGAACCCTGTGTCTTGCCTACGATTGCTGCTGTCAGTGTAAAAGTATAACGTTGACTTAAAAAGTGAGTCCATTTATCAGTAAAATACAGAATGTTAAGAAAGATTCTAACTTTCTCTTTAGATGCTATTTCTTGGTCTTGAAGATTAGCTTCTGTCCAAGTTTCATAACAATCCACGAAGGTTAACAAACTTATCATGTCAAAAAAATTTAATCCCACACTGTCAGTAAATGTTAACTGTAAAAAAAGTACATCTATCCAAAAAATACTGAAAATGAAAATATATTTTCAAAAGTGTGCTTCAGACATTATCTCTTAATCATAAAAAAGTTTCATAAAATTCTATGCAGGTTTGACAAATTATTTGATGTGTAACAAACTTTAACCCCAGACTGTATCTATTTGTTAAATGTAAAAAAAAATAAGTCCATTTATCAGTAAAATACGGAAAAATGAAAATAAATATTTTCAAAATTTTGCTCTTGATACTGTATTTTGGTCATAAACAAGCTTCTGTCCAAATTTCATCAAATTCCATGAAGGTTTGACAAAGTAATTGATGACTGAAAAACTTGAACCTTAGACTGAATATGAATGTTAACTATAAAAAAACTAAGTCCATTTATCAGTAAAATACGGAAAAATGAAAATAAATATTTTCAAAATTTTGTTGTGGATACTGTATTTTGGTCATAAACAAGCTTCTATATAGGTATAAGAAGATGTGGTATGAGTGCCAATGAGACAACTCTCCATCCAAGTCACAATTGTAAAAGTAAACCATTATAGCTCAAAGTACGGCCTTTAACCCAGAGCCTTGGCTCACACCGATCATTCTGTTCAAATTTCATCTAATTCCATGTAGGTTTGACAAAGTTATTGATGTCCAAAAAAACTATAACCACAGACTGAACCTAAATGTTGATGACCCCGACAGAACCTAGGATCGCTATGTCTCGCTTTGGCTCGACAAAAAGAGTAGTCTTCTGAACATTCTTCATTCATCACTTCAATGTATTAATGATATCATATCTGACTTTTTTGTACTACATGTTTTAATTTGGTTATTATTTTAGTTAAATAGGAAAATAAATCAGTTTGCACTCCAACATGGTGGCCAAGAGAAACAACTCCAACTCAACTTACATCATGTGGAGAACTATCTATTGGGTATTTAGATATTACTAACCTCCTCCTCCAGTAGCTGTGGTTTCTTTGTAATCATCTAAGACTTTTGGGAAGGCATCCAGTTCTTTGACAACTTTCAAAGCTTGCTTCCTGTTTACTGCATTCAATCGCCTCATTCTTTTATTCTAAAATGTTTTGAAAAATGTGAGATTGACTACAATTTCACTCCCAGATTTTGGTCTAGTCAGTCATGTTAGTGTTGTTCAATCTTTAGTTTTCTGTGTAGTGTTTTGCACACTGTTGTATGTCTTTTCATCATAAACAGTTTTCTTTTGACCATTGTGTTAGGTTTTTTTTTCTTCAACTTAGAGGTTTGGATTAACCAATTGGTATTTTTTCCAATATCCCCGTTTTTTAACAAGTTGCAGTATTAAATTGGTAGACTAGATGAAATAAATTTTCATTATATTATATAATATATATATACTGTCATGACTGTAGTAGAAAGATTTGCAACAATGTACCAAAATGTTCTTCTTAGTTGTTACGATAAAGTCAGACATTAGGACAAGGGCGAAACAATAAACAATGATAAAAGGCAGACCTGATGAAATTTTGGCAATCAGGAATGCTTACCCCTTCAACACATCCGTAAAAATTGAATAAGAGACGTTTTGTTTTATTTCTTTACTTTTTTTTATTTTGATTGATTGCTGTTTAGTGCCACTTTCAACACTATGTACATGTATTGAGCTATTTTGTGGTGGTCAGTTTTTATTGGTATAAAAGGAAGCTGGAGTTCCCAGAGAGAACCACCATCACATTTTTTAAACAATTTGATAATAGTCCATAAAAAAATAAGGAGATGTGAAATGGTTGCCAACGTCCTTACGGCCTTCAACAATGAGAAAACCCATACCGCATAGTCGTGATAGAAGGCTACAAAAGGCCCCAACATAAAAAATATGAAACAAGTCAATAGAGAAAACAAACGGCCTAATTTATAACGAAACAATATACGAAAAACAAATATGACAGACATGAACAAATGACAACACTCAACTACAAGCTTCTGACTTGGGCTACTTGTTATATGGGGACGAAGTCCCCAAATACAAGAAGAAAATCAATAAAACGAAAAAAAAAAATTAATCCACCATGTCTACTAATGAACTCAAAATCGTTAACTTTTTTTCTAACTTTTTCAGTTTCCCATATTTGCGCAGAAATCTCTTTCTTTCTTCCAGTCTCAATTGTCACAGGAGTTTGAGTAAAATATGGGAAGGATCAACATATTGTTTCCCGCAAATTTTTTGTTTTTGATTACGGTAAAAAAACTGCCATGGCCAGTTAAACAATTAAAATAAATTCCTTACATTTTAAAATGAGTCTGGAGCTTAATCAATATAAGACTTTATAGCAAACAAAATGTGTCCTTGGGAAACTTACCTGATCAATCAACTTCAGATTTCAGTATCTGATAAGAATAACAGGCTGACTTTGTATCTTTGTTTTTAAATTTAATTATATAAAGATATACATGTAAACAGTCAGGGGACTTACTTAAATGAGTGATTTTCTAAATCAATGATTCAAGTAACATTTTGTCCACAAAGGTTGGAAATAAGAGTTGTTTTTCTTTAATAATCACCTATTTAAAATGTTTAAGTAGTACAAATAAATCACTAGACTAAGTGATCTAATTTTATTGTAGCTTTAAATATATAATACTAATGATCGAGGGACTAATTATGTTGCTAAAATTATCAGAACCAACATTTGTGTTGATAGGATGACCGGTCATGTCAGGTGATGACCTTATACTGAATCTGGGATAATGACATGAAAAATTCGTAAGGGTTCCGCGGAACCCAGTGTCTCGCCTACTTTTGCTGTTAATCGCAGGCTCAACAAAAATGAGAAAAAAAATTAATAAAAATATTCCTCTCTATACTATCATTTGAATGTAAGTAGCTTCTGTCCAAGTTTGGTAAAAATCCAGGATAATTTATGAATCTAATAAATGTTTTAAAAACTTAAACTGCAGACTGTATGTAATGTTGACTGGAAGAAAAACTAAGTCCATTTATAAGTAAAATACGGAAAAAATGGAACAAAATTTTATCAAAATTTCCTTCTAGATACTAGCTTTTGATCATAAACAAGCTTCTGTCCAAGTGTGGTACAAATCCAGGATAGTTTAAGAAAGTTGTTAAAATTTTAAAAACTTTTACCACAGAGTGAATGTAATGTTAACTGGCAGAAAAACTAAGTCCATTTACAAGTAAAATACGGAAAAAATGGATTTTTTTTTTTACAAAATTTACTTCTGGATACTATCTTTAGATCATAAACAAGCTTCTTTCCAAGTTTGGTAGAAATCCAGGATAGTTTAAGAAAGTTATTAAAATTTCAAAAACTTTAACCACAGAGTGAATGTAATGTTTCCTGGCAGAAAAACTAAGTCCATTTATAAGTAAAATACGGAAAAAATGGAATTTTTTTTTTACAAAATTTACTTTTGAATATAATCTTATGATCATAAACAAGCTTCTGTCAAAGTTTGGTAGAAATCCAGGATAGTTTAAGAAAGTTATTAAAATTTCAAAAACTTTAACCACAGAGTGAATATTTGTGGACGCCGCCGACGACGACGACGCCGACGGAATGTAGGATCGCTATGTCTCGTTTTTTCGACATAAGTCGAAGGCTCGACAAAAATCACTTGTTTAAGTATCATACCTCTATTTTCTTCCAAAAAATCTCTTCTTTAAGTATTATTATTTTAAAAACTCCCACTAATTTCAACACCCCCGAACAGTGAAATTTTGATCGCAAACAGTAAAATTTTATTACATAATCTGTACGATAAAACCTTGAATTTTACAGGAAAAATACTCCCACTGCTGGGAAAAATATGTTAAGAAAGTATCAGTTCATTATGTGAAGCCTTAATTTTAGCATTTTTTCAACAAAAATGGAATTTATAGCTAAATGATTGAATCAAAGGCATAAATCTTGCTACTTAAAAGAAGCAAAAGGTTCATTTTTTTTCAATTTTACTAATGATAAGATATTATCTTAACCTATGTGTTTAAAATTTTGGAAAAACTACAAAATCACAATTTGTGACAAAATGTCGAATTTGCTACTTAAATAAGTGATTTAAATAAAATGCTCCGCTGGGGCGCAGCTTGATACGACCGCAGAGGTCGAACCCTGAACAGTTGGGGCAAGTATGGACACAACATTCAAGCTAGATACAGCACTGAATTTGGATTGTAATTAAATATTTGACACAGCATAGGTTTCTCACACAGAATGAAAGTGGTCTAAGAACTTAAAAAATTTTAATTTACCTATTCAAACCATATCATTATTATTTGCTTTTATATATAAATCAGAAATAACCAATTTAAAATGGTAAATTTTAAAGAAAAAAAAGGAAAAAAAAATCCCCCCCCCCAAATTTTTTGAACCCCCTTATGATTCATCACCCCAAACTCAATCCAAGTCTTCCCTTTGTGGTATGGTACCTTGCAGCACAATTTCAGAGAGATCCATACACTTGAACACAAGTTATTGTCTGGAAACTAGAAAAATGCTTGTTTTTTGGCCCCAAATTCCTAAACATTTAGGGCAATTACCCCCAAACTCAAACCCAGCTTTCCCTTTGTGATATGGAACCTTGCAGTACAATTTCATAAAGATCCATACACTTACACACAAGTTATTGTCCTGAAACTAGAAAAATGCTTGTTTTTTTGCCCTTTTATGGCCCCTAATTACTAAAATTTTGAGGGAATTACCCCCAAAATCAATCCCTGCCTTCTCATTGTGGTATGGTACCTTGCAGTACAATTTAAGAGAGATCCATACTCTTGAACACAAGTTATTGTCTGGAAACTAGAAAAATGCTTGTTTTTGGCCCCTTTTTGGCCCCTAATTCCTAAACTTTTTGGGCAATTACCCCGAAACTCAATTCCAGCTTTCCCTGTGTGATATGGAACCTTGTAGTACAATTTCATACAGATCCATACACTTACACACAAGTTATTGTCATGAAACTAGAAAAATGCTTGTTTTTTGCCCCTTTTAGGCCCCTAATTCCTAAAATTTGGAGGCAATTACCCCCAAAATCAATCCCAGCATTCCCTTTGTGATATGGAACCTTGTGATACAATTTCAGAGAGATCCATAGACTTACACACAAGTTATTGTCATGAAACTAGAAAAATGCTTGTTTTTTGCCCCTTTTTGGCCCCTAATTCCTAAAATTTGGAGGCAATTACCCCCAAAATCAATCCCAGCATTCCCTCTGTGATAAGGAACCTTGTGGTACAATGTCAGAGAGATCCATACACTTGCACACAAGTTATGTCTGGAAGTTACAAAAATGCTTATTTTTGGCCCCCTAATTCCTTAACTGTTGGTACCATAACCCCCAAAATCAATCCCAACCTTCCTTTTGTGGTATTGAACCTTATGGTAAAATTTCATTGAGATCCATTCACTTAAACTAAAGTTAGAGTGCGAAAACTAATGTGTCTTCGGACGACGACGCCAACCTCATACCAATATACGACCACAAAAAAATTTTTGCGGTCGTATAAAAATCACTTATTTCAGTAATTCCCCTGACTGGTAAATTATAACAATTTTATTTTAAAATTTCTTTGATCTGAAACCAAAAATTTACCTGAATGATGATAGCATATCTTTTTTACATTGAAAATGACATCACAACTAAAATTCCTAACAACATGAACAACAGGACCAGGGGTTTTTCTGGGTATTTTGGGAAAAAGGACCCTGGCCAGTTTTGGGAATTTTTTCACACGCTTTTAAATGAAATTGGGAAAACAGCAAATATACCAGATTTGAGTTTTAGTGTGTTTAGTTCATTAAAAGTTATCTTTAATTGTAAAAATAAAGTAAGAAACTTCCAGAATTTTACTGGCCCTTCAAAATTGAGAAGAAATTACCTCTTGGGATTGTAGTTATATGTTTACACTATAAAAACATCTACATGTAATATCAACATTTATTAATGATTAGGAAAATTACTGTCACATTTTATTGGATTTTGACATGAAAATTTGTGAACTAAAAGTAATTTTGAGTTTCTGTATAAAATATTTCCTGCTTTTTCTTTTTTTTCCATATATCTTTTGGTTTTCAATTCTAGTGTTTATATTTCATCATCAACTTGTATTTTGTCACCTGCCTGGAATTATTATTTTTTTATTGTATTTGATCGGCAAACCCGGAATCTGACCCGGTATTGTAATTGTCTTCATTTCCGGCTTATGGCATCCATTGTTTTTCAATGTTGTTTTTGTCAGTCATATACGATTTTAGTCGGATTTACACATTACTTGTTGGCGATTTTCGGCACAAAGCTAGTGGTTGAACAAAATGAACATCGCTGTCATGAATAATAAAGATGAAAATAAATTTTGAGATCGTTTGGGAATTTTGCTCCCAAAATTGGGAAAAATGTAGGGTAATTTGCCATTGGGAATGGGTCCGAATACCGGACCCTGTGGAATGCTAGAAAAATCCATGAGGACCAACATCAGAAACTTTTCTGTATTTCTGTTTCTTTTTCAACAAATAAAATATATGCTTGAATTCCAAAAATAATTTATATGGAATTTGTCCCCTTTCACAGGTAACAACTGCCTCATATTACATTTTGTATGAAATAGATGTCTGTGACATATCATAATTTCTCATTTTTAAAAGTAGACTTTGTGTAGACAGTCAGGGGACTTATTGAAATAAGTGATTTTTAAATCACTTATTTAAGTAGCAAATTCGAAGTTTTGTCACAAATTGTGATTTTGTAGTTTTACCAAAATTTTAAACACATAGCTTTAGATAATATCTTTTCATTAGTAAAATTGAAAAAAATGAACTTTTTGCCTCTTTTAAGCATCAAGGTTTATGCCTTTGATGCAATCATTTAGCTGCAAATTCTATTTTACTTGAAAAAATGCTATAAAAATGGCTCTACATAGTGAACTGATACTTTCTCAACAGATTTTTCCCAGCAGTGGGAGTATTTTTCCTGTAAAATTCAAGGTTTCATCTTATAGATTATGTAATAAAATTCTACTGTTCGCGATCAAAATTTCACTGTTCGGGGGTGTTGAAATTAGTGGGGGTTATTAAAATAATGATACTTAAAGAAGTGATTTTTTGGAAGGAAATTGAGGTATGATACTTGAACAAGTGATTTTTATGTCATTATCCTAGATTTAGTACAAGGTCATCACCTGACATGACCCGGTCATCCTATCAACACAGATGTTGGTTCTGATAATTTTAGCAACATAATTAGTTCCTGGATCATTAGTATTCTATATTTAAAGCTACAATAAAATTAAATCACTTAGTCTAGTGATTAATTTGTACTACTTAAATAGGTGAATATTAAAGAAAGACAACTCTTACTTCCAACCTTTATGTACATAATGTTACTTGAATCAGTGATTTAGAAAATCACTCATTTAAGTAAGTCCCCTGACTGGTAGATGTGGCATGAAACATTTCTGTAAATTTTACTTTTCCACTTGAGACTTGTTGACATATATTGCGACAGTTTTGTATATATTTAAGTATTTAGCTATGTTGAAAGGCGTGCATAATGGTGTTGTGATCCAGCAATTCATTTTTTTAGCTACAGGTAGTCTGGCAATTTTTTTCTTTTATATACAAGCATCTGTAAGACATTTAGAGACAACCATCACAACTTAGAACGCATACCGGTTGACTGGCATATATTTCCGCCCCAAAAACATCTATGATACGAGCCCCTGTGATTGTGTTTGAGTATATATATATATATATATATAGTGTTTTGTTGATTGATGTTTGTGTGGTTGACTTTTGGTTTACTTTGCCACTGGCACTGGCCAGTCTTTGACTTAGGTGTTGCATATGATGAGATTTGTCTCCAAATTTGAAGACCAGGATTAAATACTAAATAAAGAAAGAATTTGAAAAAAATGCAATTATTGTTCAAATACTATTCAAATTATTAACAGCCAATTTTTTCTTCCCACATCATCAACAATCTTCAACCGGAAGTTTACAGCATTGATAATCGTAGTTACGGATCGATATGATATTTCTTTTTAAATACTAAGCAAATTAAAGTTATTGAAAGTATTTATCTTCTAATTTGTTTAGTAAATAAGTATTTCTTTAACTTTTTAATAAAGAAATATCTTTGAATACGAAACTAATGTGTCAACATTCTTATAAATGATAAAATGTGAAATCACGCCCGACGACACATAAAACTGTCAAGATGAATGCCGAAATGGTATATAGTTTCTAAGCTTTTCAATAACAAATATCACACTCATAAAAAATGCAATCTTTCAGTTTTATGATTATATAACACTTTGAAATATGGTGCTAGCAACATAAAATTTTGTACGTGGGTGTCATATCAAATTGGTATCCATCCTATTTGATGTATGTAAGGGTGTGTCTTGGTCTAATAGATGAAGAGTCACACACAGAACAAATGAAAATCCAACAACTTCACTGCCATTAACTTTAATATATAATAATAATAATTTGAGAGGTAACATTTTTGTTAGAATTGCTAAATCTGCGACAGACTCACAGTATGTATGTAAGAGGGGGTGGACAGCTTTTGAGGGAGGTGGGAGAGAAAAAAAGATTCTAAAAGTGGGAGGTGGGAGAAGGGTTCGAATTTGCAATGTGGCTGAAACGTCCTGATCTGTTCATAACCATGATAACCATGTTACAGTAATTAGAAAAACGACAAAAGTGAAGCAATATGTATTTCTTTTACTCGTGTTACTGAGACCAAAACGTAGAACCCATTTAAGGATTGTCCTTAAAACTTTTACATGTATTAATATAAATTCAGTTCTTTGTCCTTTAGATTATCAAATTTAGATTGGTCTGCACGAGGGGTGACATTAAAAAAATGGTCACCCACTTAGTCATGGGATAGAGTAAATTATCACCCTGGTATTAACCAATCAAAATCAGCATATTTGAAGTGAAGTAAAATAAATTAAATTATATTCAAAAAGGTTTATAACACACCTATTTCTGTTTTCTGAATCATTCATAGCAGCTGGGACATAATATAATGACAGGACATGACACTAGACACTCTTATCGATTACATTGTCCGGTCATTTTAAAATTACCGATATGATACGGAAACGGAGATACATGTACATGTATGTCAAATTCTGTATATGTACTCGCTATTATTGAAGATAATTTGTCTCTTCATTACCAATTGGAAACAGTTTTAAAATAATGATTGGAAATTTTCTTGTATTTAAACCATATAACCATCATGATAACAATAATTTTAAAATATTTTAACTAATTCCAAAATGATAAAACATTGTAAAATGAACAGTTAAACTAAAATTGTTTTTAAAAGAGAAAACAGCAATTGTGATGATAATTTACAAAAAATAATGTACTTTACTTTTTGTTTCTTTTTTCTTATTATCATGATTATAAAACAATAAAAAACAAACTTTCACTTAAAAAGTTCTAAAATGTGGTGTTTATTTTGTTGAACAGATTATTAAAGAAAACAGTGTGTATGCTTTAAATCTTATGAATAAATAATTTCATTAAACTTTGCGTTGATCACAAATTGTTCTCTTAGTAGAAAATTATTATTATAATTATGATTATGGATCAAAAAACCTGTTTTTTATATCATGTATATATTTTTTAACAATGAATGAGTTGTCCTTTATTTTGTTTGATACAATATTTACTCTTTGATTTTGCATGTACAGCAAAGAATATTATAATCCTTCTTTGTCTTGAAAATTTAAAAATATTTAATTAAAAAATAATAAAATAAACAATAAGACAGAAACCAAAGTTTATTATATTACAGAAAACGGCAATTGCGATTATAATTTTCTTTCCTTTTTGGTTTGTTTCTATTTTCTTATTAACAACAGAGACATACAATCAAAGAAACAATTAAAAATATATAATATCACCTTTTTGTCCTGTGACTTTCTGTGCAACAATTTGTGTTTTTTGTACAAATTTAAAACAGTATTTTTATTTTATTTCACATTGGGTATTTTAATTGTTTTTCAAAGAGTTTTAGACTCCTGTGGTGTAGTCATGGTAGTAACCATTCAACTTTCTGTGTACAAGATGTCAATTTAAACTCATTAGAACATGTTATGATTTACCTGGTAATCAAATAATTTACTCCTAATATACATGTCATACCAGGAAATTATATGTCTCAGAAACATGTGAAAATTCAAATGAGAAATTAATTATTTTCTGTACAATATTTAATCTCAAAAATAAATAATTTCGTTAAATATTGTGTGTGTTGATCACAAATTGTTTTCTTAGTAGAAAATTATTATTTTAATTATTGATGGTATGTCATTAAATTGATTGCTTTCATAAGAAAAAACAATAGATTTTGACTTTGTCTCTTTATTTTAGTTATGTAAAAATGTATTTTCTTACAGAAGTGTACCCAAATGCAAAGGGGTAATAATTAAAAAACGGTGGCCATAAATCTCTGACTATTTCACAACGCTTTTAATCTTTTCATGACAAGAAACTCTCTCTTTCATGTGTAATTCTAAATGACAAATTATATTTTGTTTCGTTTAGTACTTAACAATAAAAAAATTTTGACAATTGTTTGGAATTATAATTGTATATTTCCACAGCCGTTGACATCTTTCTCTCCAAATCCTCGCAAGTCACGTAAAATCTTGTGGAGACAGGAAATTAGGTCATATCATAATGAAAAACCTACAAGATTCTAATCCTATTAGTATAATAGTCCCAGATAGCAAGCTTTCCATGTAGGCCAACTGTTAATTAATTTTTCTTCTCACAGCAAAATGGCAATGTGAATAATGGCTAAATCAAAATATAATGCAAGTCCTCAACTGAGGGTCAGTTGGGTACCTTGTGTTATATAATGGTACATGTGCATATATAGGCGAAAAAAATCAGAAACAAATGCCTGTGGACAATCACATAAAAGGGTAATTATATCCCATTTTGGATATAAATTTACTGTTAAAAAAACCAATGTTTGGTGGGATTCAAATGAAAATGTAACAAAGTGCAAATGATTTTAAAACATAAACGGCAACAACTTTTGGTAAGCAACTTTCTGAATACTTTTTTTATACGACCGCAAAAAAATTTTGTGGTCGTATATTGGTATGACGTTGGCGTCGTCGTCGTCGTCGTCCGGCGTCGTCGTCCGAATACACAATGGTTTTCGCACTCTAACTTTAGTTTAAGTGAATGGATCTCTATGAAATTTTACCATAAGGTTCAATACCACAATAGGAAGGTGGGGATTGATTTTGGGGGTTATGGTACCAACAGTTAAATAATTAGGGGCCAAAAAGGGGCCGAAAATAAGCATTTTTGTAACTTCCAGACATAACTTGTGTGTTATTGTATGGATCTCTTTGACATTGTACTACAAGATTCCATATCACAAAGGGTCGATGATGGGATTGATTTTGGGGTTAATTTCCTCGAAATTTTAGGAATAAGTGGCCAAAAGGGGGCAAAAAACAAGCATTTTTCTAGTTTCATGACAATAACTTGTGTGTAAGTGTATGGATCTTTCTGAAATTTTACTACAAGGTTCCATTTCGCAAGGGGAAAGCTGGAATTGAGTTTTGTGGTAATTGCCCAAACCGTTTAGTAATAAGGGGCCTAAAAAGGGGTGAAAAATAAGCATTTTTAAGTTTCTAGACAATAACTTGTGTTCAAGTGTATGGATCTCTCTAAAATTGTATTACAAGGTACCATACCACAAAGGCAAGGCTGTTATTGAGCTTGGTTTGGGGGGGAAGGGGGGGGTGATGAATCATAGGGGGGGGGGGTCAAAAAAGGGGTAATTATTTTTTTTCGTTTAAGGAATAAGGGGAAAAAAGGTTAAAAAACTAGGGTTTCCATTTTAATAGACAAATAATTGAGTAAAGAACATTATTTAAAAGCAGTGTAAGGTTGGTAATTCAAACTCATTTAAATATCTCACCTGCACTATGTTTGAATTATGTAAATTGGAAATTTGCCAATTATTTTAGTATAATAAACTTCATTGGAAATTTGCCAATATAAAATTTTGCTGATGAAGGTTTTTTGTTTACCTTTAGTCTGACTATGATGTCATTTTCTATTTTAATAGCCTTATGATGTAGTTAAATTTTTTTTAATACTTTTATGATGTATTTTAATGCGCTTTTATGGTTGCAAATTTATTGTTTTAATATAATAAACTCCATTGGAAATTTACCAATAGTTTGTTTATTTTTAGCTATGACTATGATGTCATTTTCTATTTAATTTTAAGGTTACAAATTAATTTCAGTTTTAAATATTATTGTAAAATGTTTGCCCAAAACATTTATTAATAAGTGGCCAAAAAAGGGGGCAAAAATAAGCATTTTTTTAGTTTCCAGACATTAACTTGTGTTCAAGTGTATGGATTTCTCTGAAATTGTACTTAAAGGTACCATACCACAAAGGGAAGTGGGTCAAAAAAATTTGGGGGGGGGGATTTTTTTTCCTTTTTTTTTTTCTTTAAAATTTTCCATTTTAAGTTGGTTAATTCTGATCACAAAGAGAAAGTTGGAATTGAGTTTGGGGGATAATTGCTCAAATGTTTAGGAATAAGGGGCTAAAAAAGGGGTTAAAAATAAGCATTTTTTTTTAGTTTCCAACAATTAATTGTGTTTAAGTAATTGGATCTCTGTGAAATTGTACTGCAAGGTACCATACCACAAACTGAAGGCTGGGATTGAGTTTGGGGGGGCGTGATGTGTAAAAATTTTCCACTTAAAGTTGGTTAATTATTTCTGATTTAGATATAAAAGCAAATAATAATGATGTGGTTTGATTTTATCAAAAACTTAAATTGAAGTTATGTATATTGTAAATTTAGGTTACATTGGAATTTAAGAATTGGCTTTGGGGTAGGGTTATGGCTCAAACCTTTAAATAATAAGGGAAAAAAAGGTGAAAAAACAAGGGTTTCCAGGTTAATAGACAAATAAGTACAAAACATTATTTAAAAGCAGTGTAAGGTTGGTAATTCAAACTCATTTAAATATCTCACTTACACTGCTTTTAAATTATGTAAATTGGAAATTTGCCAATAACTTTATTGTTAATAAATGCATTGGAAATTTGCCAACAATTTTAGTATAATAAACTTCATTGGAAATTTGCCAATATAAAATTTTGCTGATGAAGGTTTTTTGTTTACCTTTAGCCTTGACTATGAAGTCATTTTCTATTTTATAGCCTTATGATGTAGTTGAATTATTTAATACTTTTATGCTGTGTTTAAATGGGGTTTTATGGTTGCAAATTTATTGTTTTAGTTTAATAAACTCCATTTAAAATTTGGTAATAAAAAAAATTTTTGTTTATTTTTAGCTATGATTATGATGTCATTTTCTATTTTACTTTTATGGTTGCAAAGAAATTTTTATTTTTAGATATTACTGTTAAATGATGCTGATTAAGGTTTTTACTATGTTTAGCCATGACTATGATGTCATTTTCTATTTTAATATCTGTCATGATGTATTTAAATGGGCTTTTATGGTTACAAAGGAATTTTATTTTTAGATATTACTGTAAAATGTTGCTGATTAAGGATTTTGTTTATTTTTAGCCATGACTATGATGTCATTTTCTATTTTAATACCTTTATTATGTGATTTCCATTTTTAGATATTACTGTTAAATGATGCTGATTGAGGGTTTGAATGCTGGGATTGATTTTGGGGGTAATTGCCTCCAAATTTTAGGAATTAGGGGGCAAAAAACAAGCATTTTCTAGTTTCATGACAATAACTTGTGTGTAAGTGTATGGATATTTATGAAATTGTACTACAAGGTTCCATATCACAAAGGGAAAGCTGGAATTGAGTTTGGGGGTACTTGCCCAAAACGTTTAGGAATAAGGGGCCAAAAATAAGCATTTTTCTAGTTTCCAGACAATAACTTGTGTTCAAGTGTATGGATCTCTCTGAAATTGTACTGCAAGGTACCATACCACAAAGAGAAGGCTGGGATTGTTTTTGTGGGTAATTGTCTCAAAATGTTAGGAATTAGGGGCCATAAAGGGGCAAAAAAACAAGCATTTTTCTAGTTTCATGACAATAACTTGTGTGTAAGTGTATGGATCTTTATGACATTGTACTGCAAGGTTCCATATCACAAAGGGAAAGCTGGGTTTGAGTTTGGGGGTAATTGCCCTAAACTTTTAGGAATTTGGGGCCAAAAAGGTGCAAAAAACCCAAGCATTTTTCTAGTTTCCAGACAATAATTTGTGTTCAAGTGTATGGATCTCTCTGAAATTGTACTGCAAGGTACCATACCACAAAGGGAAGGCTGGGATTGAGTTTGGGGGTGATGAATCATAAGGGGGTTTCAAAAAATTTGGGGGGGGGATTTTTTTTTCCTTTTTTTTCTTTAAAATTTTCCATTTTAAATTGGTTATTTCTGATTTATATATAAAAGCAAATAATAATGATATGGTTTGAATAGGTAAATTAAAAAATTTTAAGTTCTTAGACTACTTTCATTCTGTGTGAGAAACCTATGCTGTGTCAAATATTTAATTACAATCCAAATTCAGTGCTGTATCAAGCTTGAATGTTGTGTCCATACTTGCCCCAACTGTTCAGGGTTCGACCTCTGCGGTCGTATCAAGCTGCGCCCCAGCGGAGCATTTTATTTTAATAGGCATTAGCTGTCAAATTCATGTTCACTGATTTGACTCAAATTCTCATATTTGATTTATCATGTTTATAACATACTAAAACATGTATCCAAATTACAATAAGTCTGAAATAAACAATTAACAATAAACAATACATGGAATCGATAATATATATCAGCATTTTGTGTGTATTTTAGTCCAGACACCATCTAATTAACCATAGAGATGACCTCCAAAGACTGCCGACGGTCACATAACCCGATATAAACATAAACATAAATATAAATAGATAGCGACCTCATGCAATTGGAATTTTCTAGGTCTGTTGGATTCCATGTTATAGGTTAAAACAAGAATGTGTCCATATATATAGTACATGGATGCCCCACTCGCACTATCATTTTCTATGTTCAGTGGACCGTGAAATTGGGGTGAAAAAACTAATTTGGCATTAAAATTCGAAAGATCATATCATAGGGAACATGTGTACTAAGTTTCAAGTTGATTGGACTTCAACTTCATCAAAAACTACCTTGACCAAAAACTTTAACCTGAAGCTGGACAGATGGAGGACGAACAAACAGACGAACGAACGCATAGACCGAAAAACATAATGCCCCTCTACTATAGTAGGTGGAGCATAAAAATAAGTTAATCATTGTTTTTGCCTGTATAAGAATGATGTTTTGTGGATCGAATCAGTGAACGAAATGGTTCACCTTTGTTTTACTTTCAATGTTGACATTCTTTTTCTTTTAATGGCTGAACACGACTAATACATGCATAACCAATCTCTAGCTAATGGGTTTAATTGAAGGTCACATGAATACGGATTCAATGAGGTAGAATTATTCAATTGTAAGTGAATAATTCATCAGCGATGTTTCTTAGCTTATTTTGACAAAATTGAACTAAACTGGCTGCTAAAAGCGAATTATTATTTCACTTTCATTAATGAATAAACAAAAAAAGTCATATTTTAATTCTTTTTTTATATCTCGTAGCTAATGCCCATTTAAATAATGTACAATAAAAAACTATTCAATTTTGTGTTACCTTTTCTCCAAGATTCAACTGTCTTGTTATAAAGGATTTAACAGAGACAAATAATTTAACTCAGTTACTCTTATATTATCAAACATGATAGGAATTTAGAGTTATCTGGATCTTTAAGTGAAAAACAATTATTTGAGTCATTTTTTGCTCAGATATCATCTCTGTTAAGTATTATTAAACAATTTTCTGCTCAGATATCATCTCCATGCATATGATCGCTGTTAAATATTATTAAACACCCTTTACTGTGGAAATAGATACATTTTTTTGTAATTTAATATGATGCTGTTAGCAGTCAGGGGACTTACTTAAATGAGTGATTTTCTAAATCACTGATTCAAGTAACATTATGTACATAAAGGTTGGCAGTAAGAGTTGTCTTTCTTTAATAATCACCTATTTAAGTAGTACAAATTAATCACTAGACTAAGTGATTTAATTTTATTGTAGCTTTAAATATAGAATACTAATGATCCAGGAACTAATTATGTTGCTAAAATTATCAGAACCAACATCTGTGTTGTTAGGATGACCAGGTCATGTCAGGTGATGACCTTGTACTAAATCTAGGATAATGACATAAAATCACTTGTTCAAGTATCATACCTCAATTTCCTTCCAAAAAATTACTTCTTTAAGTATCATTTATTGCATCAAAGGCATAAACCTTGATGCTTAAAAGAGGCAAACAGTTCATTTTTTTCAATTTTACTAATGAAAAGATATTATCTAAAGCTATGTGTTTAAAATTTTGGTAAAACTACAAAATCACAATTTGTGACAAATTTTCGAATTTGCTACTTAAATAAGTGATTTAAAAATCACTTATTTCAATAAGTCCCCTGACTGGTTAGAAGGTATACACCATTCCAAATGAAAAGCACCTCATGAAGGATGGACTATGTATGAAAATATTACTGAATTGATCTTGAAATTACAGAGTGAGAAACATTAGCATATTTTGATGCAATAGAGATGAATGTTGTATTTATAACAGTTGACCATTTTGGTCAGTTTTTTTGTCATTTGGTCCATATTATCAGTGCCAGCCCAGGATCATTTATGTTAGCATGATACATCTTTTTTTAGATGTATCATAAAACAACTTAATTAAGTATTTAACTAATACAAATACATCAAATAGTGTTCTGTATATGTGTAACGTCAGCAATACTATCAATGGTCATATCTACACAAAAGCTAAATAGATAATATTTATAATGATTTAAATGCCTTTGAAATGATGGGAGATCATCATGCATTGAATGGTGCTCTCTTTGTGTCCTAATATAAAGAAAATATGAAAAGAAGTTTTTTAGATTTTTATTTTAACATCATAAAGTTTTTTTAGATTTTTAACATCATAAAGTTTTTTTTAGATTTTTAACATCATAAAGTTTTTTAGATTTTTAACATCATAAAGTTTTTCAGATTTTTAACATCATAAAGTTTTTTTAGATTTTTAACATCACAAAGTTTTCTAGATTTTTCATAAAGTTTTTTTTAGATTTTAAACATCATAAAGTTTTTCAGATTTTTAACATCATAAAGTTTTTTAGATATTTAACATCATAAAGTTTTTGAGATATTTAACATCATAAATTACATCAATAAACATGATGGCAACAGCAGTTCACCAATGTTCTAATCTCATAAATAGATTCAGAAAATATAATGATATCAATGATTTAGATGTATCATGATATCCTTGAATATAATGATTGTAGGATTTTACGAGACTTGCAAGGATTTGGAGAGAAAGATGTCAACGGCTGTGTAAATTTACGGAATAATTCCAAACATTATTAAAACTGTTTTTGTTTTCTATCATTTTAGGAGCTGATGTTTGGAATATGATGAAGTTGAAATGGCGAGCAAACCTGTTTCAATTCCTGCTGTAGTTGAAGTTCAACACCACGATGATGACAAACACAGCGTTTCAAGTCAAGATCAATTACTGGTTGTAGATCTAGATGACAATCTGAAAAATCAACAGAATTCTGTCATGGCGGAAAATAATAATGATTCTAAGGAAAAGTATGGGAAAGATGACATTGTGAAAGATGAAAGCAAAGAAGAGAAATTTGCTGCAAAGGAAGATATGTTGATTGAAAAGAAGGAAGGGAATGATGATGAAAACAAAGAATTTCAGAGGAATGGAAGCAGTAAAAGTCCAAAAAAGAAAAAGAGGAAAAAATCAGTAAAAGACAATGAAGTTACCACAGTTACAGCTGACATTAACAACAGCAGCCCAAAGGTAAACAAGGGAAACAATAAAGAACAGAAAAATGAAAACACAGAAAAAACCAAGGAAGATGTGACTGTTAATTTACATACAGAGGCAAATGAAATTGATGAAAATGCATCTAACAATATTTCTAAAGACACAAAAAAAGATTCAGAAAAGCCATCTATAAATGAAAAAGATTCAGAAAAGCCATCTATAAATGAAAAAGATTCTGAAAAACTATCTACAAATGGAAATGATTCTGAAAAACCATCTACAAACGGAACAGATCTAAACAAGTCAACTAATAAAATAGATGAAATTACTATTGAAGCTGGTCCCGATGAATTGGATGGTTTCACTAAGGTTACGGCGGATGACCAACTGGACCATGATGCATTGAGTCAGTTTTCATATAAAGAGGCGAAAGATTTCAAATATTATTTCCAGCACCCATATTTGAGGTTATTTATAGCCTACTTTGTAACATTTTGCAATTTCTTGATTTATGCTGAAGATCCTGTAGCCCACAGTAAAAAAGAATGCAATATTCCACTGGTTGGCAATGACTTTGCCTTTGTGTGTACAAGGTACCCATCAAACGCATGGAGCTTACTAAAAGTTGTTTTGTGGTTTTCTGCTATAATTGTTGGGATGATTATTGGAAAACTTGTAGTCCACAAGCTTTTTTTCTGTAAGTGCATGAATATATTATACATATAACAAAAAAAATAAGTTAGTAGTACCTGTAAGTCAATCTTTTGTAAGTTCTCGTCGGATTTGTTTGGACTTCTGGCAGAAAAAACATTTTTGACTCAAAATTTTTTTATAAATTCTTATACAAGTTAATGGTAGAAATGAAAATGTAAAATGTACTATAACACAAATTGTCATAGCAATTTTTTAATAATATCTATTTTTGGCATTTCAATTTGATCAGAGTGGTCTTACATGTACAAAGATAGACTAGTTACTGAATATATGCATTTAACAATAAAATGTACTCCTAGCAGTAAAATAGTGCTCTGATATAACAAAAAATTGCAAAAAGAATCATCATCAACAAAAAATAGGCATAAAACACATACTGGTAGATATAAATTTATACACTTTATGACTGGTGAAGACTTTACTCGAACAATGTAATCACTAAATATGTTAAAATTCATATTTTATACAAATACATTTTGTACGTGTAAATACACTAATGTATATATATATAGGAATGGAAAGATTAAGTGTGATACACCTACACCATTAATGAATAGATTAGTTGGAACAAAGTATTTGAATTTTTGCATGTTTAAATATCATGAATATGTTAAGAAGCAGAGAAGCCATATGTACTTCAGCAGCCTTTTGGATCCCAAAATTAATGTTAAACATGTTAAATTACTTAAGTCATGTTAGTAAACTGCTGCATACTTTAAATATACATGTATTTCTGAAAATATTGGCTAGAACTTTTTAGCTCACCTGGCGTTTTTGCCTTATATCTTAAAAATTATAATAGATAGACAGAAACTTAAATAAGCAAAAATGATCAGCAAGACAAGAGCTTCAATTATAACAATATGACTCCTTATTAGAGTTATTGCCCTTTGATGACGATTTTAACCAATTGTTTGCGTTTTTGCCTTATATCTTAAAAATTATAATAGATACATAGAAACTTAGATAAGCAAAAATGATCAGCAAGACAATGTCTTCAATTAAGACAGATGGAGGAAATCGTATGACGACTCCTTATTGGAGTGATTGCCCTTTAATGACGGTTTTTACCATTATTTTTGCATTTTGCCTTGTATGATAAAAACTATTATAGATAATATAGAAACTTTGAATAACAAAAATTATCAGCAAGGCAAGATCTACAAACGAGTCAAATTTTACCGATATAGTTAGTAGACTGTTACTCTTTATAGAAGTGATTGCCATGATGGTGGGGCTACAGCCTTCAAAGACATCCATGTAGTTTTTATACGACCGCAAAAAAATTTTTGTGGTCGTATATTGGTATGACGTTGGCGTCGTCGTCGTCCAAAGACACATTAGTTTTCGCACTCTAACTTTAGTTTAAGTGAATGGATCTCTATGAAATTTTACCACAAGGTTCAATACCACAAAAGGAAGGTGGGGATTGATTTTGGGGGTTATGGTACCAACAGTTAAGGAATTAGGGGCCAAAAAGGGGCCAAAAATAAGCATAACTTGTACCACAAGGTTCCATATCACAAAGGGAATGCTGGGATTGATTTTGGGGGTAATTGCCTCCAAATTTTAGGAATTAGGGGCCAAAAAAGGGGCAAAAAACAAGCATTTTTCTAGTTTCATGACAATAACTTGTGTGTTAGTCTTTGGATCTTTCTGAAATTGTACCACAAGGTTACATATCACAAAGGGAATGCTGGGATTGATTTTGGGGGTAATTGCCTCCAAATTTTAGGAATTAGGGGCCAAAAAGAGGCAAAAAACAAGCATTTTTCTAGTTTCATGACAATAACTTGTGTGTTAGTGTATGGATCTCTCTGACATTGTACCACAAGGTTCCATATCACAAAGGGAATGCTGGGATTGATTTTGGGGGTAATTGCCTCCAAATTTTAGGAATTAGGGGCCAAAAAGGGGCAAAAAACAAGCATTTTTCTAGTTTCATGACAATAACTTGTGTGTAAGTGTATGGATCTCTCTGACATTGTATCACAACGTTCCATATCACAAAGGGAATGCTGGGATTGATTTTGGGGGTAATTGCCTTCAAATTTTAGGAATTAGGGGCCAAAAAGGGGCAAAAAAAAAAGCATTTTTCTAGTTTCATGACAATAACTTGTGTGTAAGTGTATGGATCTTTATGAAATTGTACTACAAGGTTCCATATCACAAAGGGAAAGCTGGGATTGATTTTGGGGGTAATTGCCCAAAATTTTAGGAATAAGGGGCCAAAAAGGGGCCAAAAATAAGCATTTTTCTAGTTTCCAGACAATAACTTGTGTTCAGGTGTATGGATCTCTCTGAAATTGTACTGCAAGGTACCATACCACAAAGGGAAGGCTGGGATTGATTTTGGGGGTAATTCCCTCAAAATTTTAGGAATAAGGGGCCATAAAAGGGCCAAAAAACAAGCATTTTTCTAGTTTCAGGACAATAACTTGTGTGTAAGTGTATGGATCTTTATGAAATTGTACTGCAAGGTTCCATATCACAAAGGGAAAGCTGGGTCTGAGTTTGGGGGTAATTGCCCTAAACGTTTAGGAATTTGGGGCCAAAAAGGGGCCAAAAAACAAGCATTTGTCTAGTTTCCAGACAATAACTTGTGTTCAAGTGTATGGATCTCTCTGAAATTGTACTGCAAGGTACCCTACCACAAAGGGAAGGCTGGGATTGAGTTTGGGGGTGATGAATCAGAAGGGGGTTCAAAAAATTTTGGGGGGGATTTTTTTTCCCTTTTTTTTCTATAAAATTTTCCATTTTAAATTGGTTATTTCTGATTTATATATAAAAGCAAATAATAATGATATGGTTTGAATAGGTAAATTAAAAAATTTTTAAGTTCTTAGACCACTTTCATTCTGTGTCAGAAACCTATGCTGTGTCAAATATTTAATTACAATCCAAATTCAGTGCTGTATCAAGCTTGAATGTTGTGTCCATACTTGCCCCAACTGTTCAGGGATCGACCTCTGCGGTCGTATCAAGCTGCGCCCCAGCGGAGCATTTTATTTTTTTATAGTTCTAAATAAAAATTAGAAATATGCCTACTACATGTACTAGGGGTAAAACAAATTAAACGGTCAGTACATCATGTGCATTCTTATTAATGAAGTAATATTTTCACCTTCGCTTGTTCAATGGTCAACAGTTTGGTAAGTGGTCAATGATTGTTTTTCTTCATTTTAAATTACATCACCTTTTTCTATATGATATGAATCTGTACATATTACAAAGCAGTGCAAATGCTAATATATTTATATAAACTATATATGATACATGCAACACACATGAAATATTGCAGTACACACAAGGATTTTCAATAAAAAATAATTTTTGCTGGTGTCCAGAGATTTTCAGTGAATCAGGGTGATTGCTGGTGATTTGAGGTGATAACACAGATTAAAGACCCTTTGATATACTTTTATTTATTATTATTCATGGGATTCCAATTTTCATGAGTATAATTGAACCACAAATTTAAATGTTCAACAAAGTACAAAATTTTCTATAGACTTGTATTCAGAATTTGGCAAAACCACGAAATCTAATATCCACTAGACAATGCTAAAATACAACATACGTGTACAATTTTTACCAATCCACCAAAATTGGTACCAACGAACATAAATGAATCCACAGTACCTTCTTTTATATAAAGAAACTGTGAAAGGTATTTCAAAAGGAATCATCATTGATCACCCGCATTCACATATCACCACCAAAACAGGTTTTTGGTTGAATCGCCTTGTGTGTACTGTATGTCCTAACAAGGCGCACTTCCTCTGAGGGAAATAGGGAGGAGTCGTACAGAAGCTTGAATTTTTTATCTTTGAATTAAATTGGTTAGAAAAAAGACAAAATTATCAGACTTCACCTCTCCTGAATGGAAGTGAAAAGAAAACTTTGCAGATACACTTCTCCCAATTTGAAGTGCTTTGTTTGGCAAATTGCAAGCACACATTTATTAGCTGATTTTATAAATTTGTGTTTGAATGAAGGAATCATGGTATGCTGGCTAGCCTTTATGAACATGTATGGAATGTGTCATCATGGTTCATTATGCAAACCCCAAAATTATGCTATGAGTGACATTTTCAGAGGCATTTATTCAGAAGGTGATTCAAATAAAATTTACTCTTTGTGGTGAATTTTTCAGCAAATGCTGGTCAAAAATGTATATGGTGATTCACTATGAAATATCTCTGTATATCACCATGATTACACAGGTATTATATGACAGGATTGTAAAATTACCAGCAATCCCCATGAATCATAGTTAACTACTCAATACCAGCAAGAGTGAATTTTAAATGAATCACCTTGTGTGAACTGTTAATCAAGGGAGACAATTTCTTAGAGCTATGCATAGTGTCCAGTTATCTCCCTTAGCCTAGGTAACTAGGGTCATAAAAGAAAATGATAAGGGCCTGGCATTGAAAATTGGAGAGTTCTTTAGTTTTCACTTTCACTATTTTGTCCATCTTTCTTTCCATCTGTCCATTTACAATTTAATCATGATTACATAGGGGTTGCAAAATTAACAGCAATCCCCATGAATCACAGTTAACTGATCAACACCAGCAAGAGTGAATTTTAAATGAATCACCTTGTGTGAACTGTTCTTATCCAAGGGAGACAATTTCTTAGAGCTATGCATAGTGTCCAGTTATCTCCCTTAGCCTAGGTAACTAGGATCATAAATGAAAATGATAAGGGCATGGCATTGAAAATTAGGGAGTACTTTAGTTTTCACTTTTTCCATCCCTCTTTCCACATGTCCATTCACAATTTTTTATGACCAGTATAAATTCTCCTACAGTTATATGCTTTTGAAAACAACAACATAAAGTTTAGTTGAAATTCTTTCAATTTCCCCCAAAAAAGTTTCAAACATCTTTGTTTTGCTTTCAACTGACCAGTGCACACAACTCTTCCTTTGAATCAAGTGCCAGTTGATGTAAAAACTGACACAGAAGAATCAGGTTCTAGATCTTAATACATTTTATTAACTTTTTTATAAAACTGCAAATGTATGACATTCCTATGTGGTAATATGCAGTACCACCCCTACAATCAATGCATGTGATAATTTTTATATAAAGAAATTAAAAATCTAAGAAACTTTCTTTTTTTCTTTAAAAAGTAACATTAACAGGTATTTATCATAAGGGACAAAATGGCATGTCAAACACATATTAATTAAACGCATGTCAGTTTCTAGTCAGTTTTCAATTATATGATTTGTGCATTTGGTTATAGATCATCATTTTTGTGAGCCTTATAATAAGCTACATTCTGCATACAACTCATGGATAGCATAAAATGTGCATGAACAAAAATTGAACCATTTATAAGAACTTAAAAGTTTAATCCTGGTATCTCCAGTGCAAAATTTATTTGATCTGTTTCCTTGGTAACATGGTGTTTTAATACCATTTCTTCTATGTAGACTTTTATTGCATTGCAGTTTAAAAAACAATTTTATTATGAATGGTAGGCATTTATATTATTTAAAGCTCATCTTATCCTAATAATAATAGGCCTACTTAGGTCAGTGTGAATAATTGCCATTACTTGTGGACTGTCCTTAATGAATCAATGAATTTCTTCTCTGCTTTGCTAGTTTGACACACCTTGGCCTGTAAATTCTTTGAAAAACAATTCCATCATGTGAAAATTAGGGGAATGTTACAAAACAGACTCTCCTGAGACTGACATCAAGAAGTATGTATTTCATATGTTAATAATTATGTCATGTGACCGTGACGTCATGAACGTTTTTCATGTTTTACTCCTTAAAAATGGAATTATAATTAAATTATAAGGGAGACTAATATTTTTTCTGTCTTTTTGAAATAACCTCAAAAATTAATGTGGTGCACACTTTTTAAATAAAACGCTACGCGGGTTATTCAGTGTGCACCACATTTTTGAGGTTATTGTCCCCCTCGCAACGAGTTGTGGGGGAACATAGAAATACCAGGTGTGTGTCCGTCCAGTCTTGTTAGCACTCTCACATGTACATTCTTGGTTATATCATAGGTTTATATCAGCAATGTCTTGGACAAGGTTGAAAATCAGTGCCAATGAACTATTTTTAAACGAGTTATGCCCCTTAGAAACATTAATTATATGAAAAACTGCATCGTTAGCATTCTCATGTGTAAAATTCTTGCCAGATTTTAATGAAACTTATATTGTAGGTTAAGTGCTGATCAATTATTTTTGAAAGAGTTATGCCCCTTGGATATATTAATTATGTGGAAAATTGCCTTGTGAGTGCTCTCATGTGTACAATTCTTGCCCGATTTTTATGAAATGTATATTATAGGTTTAAATTATCAATTTCTTGGATGAGTTTGAAAATCTGTGCCAATCAATTATTTTTAAAAGAGTTATGCCCTTGGAAATATTAATTATATGGAAAATTGGATCACTAGCATTCTCATATATACAAATCTTGCCAGAATTTTATGAATCTTATATCAAAGGTTTATATCAGCAATGTCTTTGACACTTTCGAAAATAAGTGCTGAACAAATATTTTTTAACGAGTTCTGCCCCTTTGAAATATTAATTTTATCGGAAATCACATTGAATTTGCTCTGAAGCATTCATTTCTCTAAGATATTTATGAACAATTTTAAAGAATAAAAAAAGTGTATTTTTTTAGTTATTGCCCTTGTACCTTCATTGACCTTCGATAGATAAAATATGTGCAATGCAGGGGACATTTGAACTCTGTTCTTTTATTTCTTCATAGACAAAAAATATTACAGTAATTCCTTAAATAGACAAATTGCGAATGCATGGATTCTGTAAATGTTTGCAAGGGTTTACTTTTGCTTATTTCCAAATAAAATGAAATCATGAAAATATTACCTTCCCAAAAGTCAGGAAGATAAATTCAGAAAGATGGAAAATGTGAATTCAAAATAAAACCTTGCCAACATTTTAAAGTACACATGTAATGTGTATTTGTTACCATTGATAGATCAGTGCACTGTTTCATGCATTTTGTATTTATGTAATGAAATTTGAATTGGTGAGATTGATGTCATTATGTATATATAATGAATTGTTATAAGGCAATACAGTTATGAAAATGAGATACCTACATGATTTTTAAGCACAGCACTGAAAAACCTAAAATCTCATAATCTAAAATAACTTTTGCACAGTTTATATTTCACCTGTCAATACAAACACTATTATCTAATCTAGACATTGAAAATCTTCGTCAAAAAGATATTAATATTATTGGTTTTTTTTCATTTATTCACATAACTATGTGTTTGTATTTGAATAGGTAAACTGTTGAGACTAAAGATGTTCTGTGATGACCAAGGATCGTGGATGATCATGTTTTTATTCTCACTCATCAGTGTATTTATATTTTCGTGGTTGTACAATGCCTTCCTCCTTGCTGGAGGAAGTTCCACAGAAGATTATAGAATTTCTGGATTGCTTGGATTATCCAATTCTATTTTTATGAAGGCAGCCGCCACTGGAACTTGGTGTGGAGATTTTTTTACCGCTTGGATGGTAATTGTGTTAATTTACTTAATTGTTTTTGAAATATTCGTAAAAAGTGCCCTTGCTGGATTTTTAAATCCAATATTAAACATGTTAAAAGACTATTAGCTGGTTCATGAGGGAATGACAATTTGACTCTTGAAAGGAGGAGTGATTACCTCTTGAAACCACTTTGTTCAGGGAAATAGAAAAAAAATTCTGCTTGAGAGTTTTTGCCATTAGATTTAATGTGAAGTTTTTAAAAAAAAGTTAAATGATGCTTGAGTTGAACCAAATAAAATTTTGAATGAAAAAAAAACCATAACCCATAAAGATAAAAGGGTCTTTCCCTTAATTTACCAGTTTCAAGTACATTTGTTTGCTGATACGTTGAATATTTCAATAAGTTGAATGAACTTAAGACTTTTCTTCATGCATTTATCAAATACTACTGAACAGAATGACTTCCTCCTTTGATCTTAATATATACTTTTACAAACCAAATTATATTCAATAGAATTTTTGAATGCAAAATGTAAGCAGTCAGTCTTTTCTTAAATCAACAGGTTACAGATATGATGCTTCAAGAGAAGCTATATCCTTACTGGGGCAGACCAATCAGAAAGTGGTGGAATAGAAAGTACAACAGAATCATTTTATTCTGGATTGTGACATCAGTTACTTCTTTTACTGTTCTGTTCACCATTGCTACAGATTATATTCAATGGGACAAACTTCATCGAGACTTCTTATCCAGCAACGAAGTATCCCGAGCTTTCTTAGCATCCTTTATTTTGGTCATGGATATATTAATTGTTGTACAGGTAATATTTAGTACTGATAGATATATATGAAATTAACTTGCTTGCATAAGAATCATGTTGCGAGGGTCAAGCTAACATTAAGACATTGAATGTGAAAACTCAATTACAGGTACATCTGAAATCTTAGGTCATGTTGAATCTTACAGGTCCTTTACTGGCACTCCACTGAGATTTGTTTTTGATCCGCCCCTGCTTCCTATGCACATTAGATCCTCAAAAATAATTCTAATATACCATTTCTACCAGGAAGATAGAAACAGCTAAACTTCTAATCTATTCAAAACTTATAAGATGGAATATTTACTCAAATGACACCAACAATCTCTCTGCTTGCTTAAGCTTACTTTAGCTTTGAACAGACTCACATAACGGGAAAGTGTGCAGATTACATGTAATAATACTATACAAAAATAACTATAATATTCACCAACCTTCATTCAGTTTTCTATTATAAAAACAAGGAGATGTGGTAAGATTTCAAATGAGACAACTATCTATCAGAGAAACAGAGATACTAACAGTTTTTATGCCCCCGCCGTAGCGGTGGGGGCATTAAGTTTTACCATTGTCCGTCTGTACATACAAACATCCCAAAATTGGTTTCCATTCTGTAACTTGAGTTTGCCTCAACCAAATGTTATGAAACTTATACACATTGCTTATTACCACAAAACACAGATCAAGTTTGAATTTTGGTGGCGTCACTTTAAACCGTTCTAGAGTTATGCCCCTTTATAATTATAAAAATTGCTGAATTTTTTGTTTCCGTTCTCTTACTTTAGTGTGTCTCAACCAAATGATATAAAACTTATACACAACCGTTCCAGAGTTATGCGTGTTTACAAATGGAAAAATTGCTGAATTTTTAGTTTCTGTTCTCTTCTTAAGTTAGCCTCAACCAAATGTTATGGGACTTACACACAATGCTTATTACCACAAAACTCAGATCAAGTTCAAATTTGGGTAGCATCACTTTTACCATTCTTCAGTTATGTCCCTTTATAACGATATGATATGCAAGCGTGGACATCATCTGTGTCCACATGTGGACACTATCCACATTTATCTTCTTTCTATTACAGGATTGGGACTTTCCACATTTCATTAGTGCTATAGATATAAAGCTTCCTGGTGTAAACACAGCCCACATTACATTTGACATTCCTAAATGCTTTCGACCAGATAAATGGCAGATCCACATCACAGGTATGTAAGCTATGTATGGATTACAGTAATGGGTTAGATTTTGTTTAATGTGGATTCATTTAGTTTCGTTGGTACCAAATTTTCGTGGATTGAGGAAAACTTGTACTATAGTGGATAGATGATTTAGTTGTTTTGCCAAAGTTTGAAGACACGTCTATAGAAAATTTGTACTTCGTTGAATATTTAAATTCATGGTTTACCAATACCCACAAATTCCAATTTGTATCTCAAGAATAATAATAAATCTACAGTTACTATTTTACCTATAATAGTAACTTAGACAGATGTCAGCAATGTAAATTATCACTAACTGAGTACTCATTATATTTATTTAGTTTTATTCAAGTACTTGCTTAAAATATTTGAAAATAATGACTGACAAATACCATTATCTAACAGCCCATTTGATATTCATAACATAAGTGTTGTTTTGTTGGGTTTTTTTGAATGAATCATAAAATCCCTAAATTCTTTGAATGTTTCACAACTTACTAAGTTACTTACATTTAAAATACCATGTTATGCCATTTCAACATGCAAAAAAAATTTAAATGTACTATTTTTATTTTTATATTATTTTAACACCTATGATTTATACAGTGTTCTCCATTTTTCACTAAGGTAAGGTGGGTGTTTTGAAAAAATCACTTGCAACCGGTTGGGTTTTTTTTTGTTTTAACATTTCCAACGGCGGGTTTTACTTTACTGTTTTTTGGGACACAAAAAGAAGGATTAGTATTGTATTCACATTTAATAAAATTGAACCATTCTTTGCTATCACTGCTAGCCTTTTATTTGACAAATTAGTTGTTAGCATCTCGGCTAGCAGATTTGGCTTTTGCAGGACTCCCTTCTCCTGCATATGCATTGCTTATCGATCCAAGTTTCTGTCCTGTTCCTCGCTTTAGTGTTGTATTTTTGGCACACAGAACAGAAATATCTACCTTCTGTGCCAATTAGCCATTTAAAGTCCTATTCATATTTATCAGCTTGGGAACAACCCCTCAAATGAGGGGTAAACTCTCAATGTAATGACTACCCCTTTTATGAGGGGTACATTTCACGAGATACAAATGAACTCATATTTATTTTATTTACAGAAACTTTTCCCAAATAACTATACATCTATTTGGTATTATATGGTCAAAACATGTCCAAGAAATTTGTAATATTCCTGGTCTTATATCTGCTTTATCATTAAAAATAATTGGGCCTTCTTTTAAAAAAGTTGTTCCAAATATAACGATTTTCCCTCTTTTAAGTTAAAAAATCTAAGTTTTTCTCTTTTCTTTTCTTCAACAGTATTGACATGACCTCTTGCGAGAGAGACAGTCCCTCATTTAAGGGATATCCCTCATTTGGGGGATTGTTCCCAACCTGTTCATCTTCGACTTCGCGATCGCTTGCGTGCCTTTTCCGTTGTTTGATACTTTTTTTTCAATTTCACGATTTTAATACAACTATCCGTTTTAGTTGACTTATTTGGCATAGAATTTTCCTGATCACCATCGTCACCTGCCTTTCTCTTCCCCCGATTAATAAAAAGAAAACATTGAAATTTGACGATCCGCCATTTTTGTCAATGAAAACAAATGCGAGGCGCGATTAGTATTTAAATGTTTACGGTGCAGAACCGAAAAAAATCCGGAATTTGAAAAAACAGCGGACCACCTCCTAAAATGGAAAGGTGGTCGGCTTTCAAAAGAAGGTGGTCGGCACACCCGGCTTAAATGCCGAATGGAAAACACTGTTATAGCTGATTTGTCCCTGATGTAGTACAAAGGAGACATGGTAATATGTCAATGATACCACAACCCAACAACAACAAAAAAAAACCACTTAAAGACATTTAGAGATCAAATATATAGCAGTCATCTGGTAATTTCTGTGAATGAAACACTAAAAATATTTTATTTGATTTAATAAAACATATTTATCATGTCGGGGCCTTTTATAGCCAACTATACGGTATGGGTTTTTCTCATTGTTGAAGGCCATACGGTTGCCTATAATTGTGTACATCCACTTCACTTGAACTTTGGTGGATATTTGTCTCATTGGCAATCATACCACATCTCCTTTAATATTTTTATATAACCCAAAAAAACTTATCTTTCAGGGAAATGGTTTAACTATGGTATCCTGTTCCTTGTGATGATACTGGACCTGAACATGTGGAAGAACCAGATATTTTACTATCCATATGATTATGGTCAATATACTGATAATGATGGCAAAATCCATACCGTGAATGACGATTTTAGCTTAGAAAACCATAACGAAACCTTGATGAGTTTCAGTTACAGGAATTCTACCATCAACCCGCTTACCAATCAGACATACATATCTGAAGATGGCGTAATGAATTCACGGTTTTATGATAATAGTCTAGCAGTGAAGGCAATTGCCTTTATCCCTGCACTAGCGGCTTTCATCACATTTGGCGTACTTATTTGGCAGTTTGGACGATTCAAACCATCAAAGACTGATCCATATGCAGGAAGGCTGTTAAAAAGACCAAAGAAGAAATCTTCATTCAGATTATTTAAAGAAAGTTTTGGGAAGAGGTTTTCACTCAGAAATAGAGTGAAGGCTGTTCCAAAACTTCTTGCTTTTACTCGTCGTCGTAATACAAATACTGGTAAGGCTGATTTTCCAGTAAACGATAGACCATCAACAGATCCTGTGTCATAGAATTGATATTTTTAGGGAAAATATATATCGATTTTCTTTTTCTTATTATCATGACACAAAGTGTATTCAGATTCCTTGAATACAAGAGGAAAAAAAGAAGTCTTGAAATAATTAAAATTATTTAAGATACAAAATGTAGTTTTACAATTGTTTTGGTTGGAATCAATATGCTTTCTCTTTTCTTTCACAGTATTCTTCGTGTTTAAAATAGATTCAAAGTATCTGAATACCTTGTCCATTGTTTATTAGTGCTTTGTTATTGATGACTGTGCTAATTAACTCTAATTGCATTGATAGTTGTACAAAAATATTACATGTCCATAAAAATGTTTACATAAAAGTTGTAAGTGTTGCCAATTTGTAGAAAGCGTTTCCTTCATGTTCTTGGTGAATAGAATTTGAAAAGATGACTGTGCTTATTAACTCTTATAACATTGATAGTTGTTCAAAAATAATACATGTTTCTTAGTCCTTTTAAAAAATGTTATACAAAAGTTGTAGTTGAAATTGTAGCCAATTTGTAGAAAGCATAACCTTAATGTTCTTAGTAAATAGAATATGAAATCATGAGTGAATTCAATATTAAGGTGGTACCTAACACTACAGGGAGATAACTCAAGTAAAAGGGAGTAAAATCAGCTAAACGTTTTAATTACGTTGTGTTGTTAAGGGAATATTAAGCTTCTCAATGATCAAAGTTAGTGTTTGTCAAACTGCTATATAACCAGTCTAATTTTTCTGATAAATTGGTTGGTTCAAATTTTTTGAAATTTTTATATTTTTGTCAAAGGGTCAAAGTAAATACTTTGTCAAAATTTTATGAAAATTAAACGAGCCAAATTAATTTTAGTGAAGGTGTTGGGTACCACCTTAAGTAATTCTAGTTCAAAAGTTGTTGCATTAGTTCATATCAGATGTAAATTACACATATATATTTGCTGCATTTAAATTGGTTCTATTTGAGGAAGCCATAGAAATGTGTAAAACAAACATTAGGAGCTACAAAATCAAAAGGTTTGAAGAATAATGTGCAATGCAAAATGCAAAATTAAGTTTGATTAAAAATTTAAAGTAGAAACCTAGTTTGAGTAAACAGTTCAAAACAACTGTACCACTTTTTATGCCCAACCTACGACAGTAGAGGGCCATTATGTTTTTCTGTCTGTGCGTCCGTTCGTTCGTCCGTCTGTCCCGCTTCAAGGTAAAGTTTTTAGTCAAGGTAGTTTTTGATGAAGTTGAAGTAACTTAGTACACATGTTCCCTATGATATGATCTTTCTAATTTCAATGCCAAATTAGAGTTTTGACCCCAATTTCACGATCCACTGAACATAGAAAATGATAGTGCGAGTGGGGCATCTGTGTACTATTGACACATTCTTGTTACAACTTTTATTGTTCTACATTATATCAGATGATTTGTATCATAGGTAGCCCTGAAACTGCTAAAGTTATTTTAGGCAAATTCTTGTACATTTGATTTTTTCATTTTATCCTTGTACATTTTATAGTCAAAATATCAAATATAAAACATGTATCACAATGTTCTAAATCTTTCTGAAAGCAGAAATTTAGAAATGAGACAAAAAGTCTTTTTTTTTTCAATGTAGATAACATTATGTTGAATCTTAGTTTTGTTAGACAGTTATAATTGTATATTCATAACAAGTGTTTTCTGTTTCTGTTTTTTATTTGTTTTGGTTTTTTTTTACTTTTTTTATTCTTAATATACATACCTATCCCTGTGATCATTTTTTTATATATTTAAAGACCATTTTCATATATTGATAATTTCACATTTTCTGTGTTCTAGTTACTTTTCCAGTAAATGTATATATTTTTCATAACATTTTCAAGACATCTTTTCACATTCAGTTTTTACGAAATTGAATTAGCTAAAAAAAAATCTCTATTTCTTTCTTTATTTTATTTTTTACTGCTTTTCATTATGTGTAAACTTAAATTGCTACCTAATGTTATTATATTTTCAGATTTCTATCATTGGATTCTATCTATTTAAAGAAACTTGCTAAAAATGAGATTTTTAAATACACCTGAAATTGTTCTTATCTCCTAAAATTTACATATAAGTCAGAGCTATTGGTTGATACAGAAAAAAAAAACAAAGTTGGGACACATGGGTATCCCTTGACTTATTTTTGTGTTCATGTATTTTTAGATCATGTTTTATGAAGTTTGGTGCTTTGTTAATTTGTTATTGGTTATTTCCTTATTTTCACTAAATAATTGTTATTCTAAAACCATTTAATTTATATGGTATGTGCCTTTTTGTCCCGCCTACAATATATTTTAAATTCATTTGTTTATATTCTATTGTAAAAATATTGTCACTATATATTATACTAAGATGACAAGAGAATATTATATTTTCAATCATTTATCATTATGAATGTTCTCTACACAAAATAGAATTTAAGAAGATTATACATGTAAATTTGCCCTTTTTAGTCTCCAAGTAGGAGAGATGTATAGATTTTTATATACGTAGAATTCATTATTATTAGTGGGTACTAATTTTTGTTTATTTCATGGGTGTAGGTAACCAAAAATTTAAGTGTACATCAAAATACTAATTTCTGAAGGCGAATTTGTCAAAACTAGGAAACAAAAAGTTTTCCTCAATCCTCGAAAATATGTACCCTGAATCCAGAGTAATTTATTTTAACTGTTTAAGATTATATGTTTTCCAAAACTTAATAGCATCAACAAACATTTGTTTAATTCTAGAACAGCCCTAATTTGTTTATGTTCAGAGAGAAAAGATAATGTTTTCCTAGCAAAATCTTATTATGTATGTACATTAGAAAAGGTTTTTTTTTCAAGAATTCCTGAATAACTTTCAGAAATCTAGAAAAAATGCTATGTAAAAATTAGTCAAAGATTAGGTATTCTAGATGCATGTTTCATCTTGATAAGACTTATTAGGTGGGCTCAAATCAAAACAAATGGGAAGGCCAAATAAATTTTTTAGTTAGAGAGTATAGAAAACTAACAGGCCCAAATTGTGTGCCATCATCAATTACAGATAAGATTGTAAGAGACAGAAAGTTGTAAGGTATTAATTTGATTTATGGGGAAATTATATCTGCTGGTATGATAAATTATAACAAACGGCCTTTGTGAGTCTTTACTGTGAACTATGACAGAACACATACGTAGATCTACCTCACATAGTTATTGTATTATTAACAAAAAGACCAAGTGACTGAACCAATTGTTAAGTTTTACTTAAGTCAATTTATTGTATAGAACTTTAAATAGTACTGCATTGTTTGTCTACCTTTACTTAAACACGGGACCAGGAGAACTATACAAATATTAAATTTGTGTGTTTAAATTTTTATTTTATTTTAGGGGGGAAAGAGGGTCCTATGATTTATTTACAGTGTTTTTTTTTAACTCCTGCAAGTTTGTTTGTATACAATTTTGAATAAGAATCATTTTATATGGTTTCTTGGCTTTATGATTATCTAGTTCGTAGAGCTGAAGGAAATTTAAGTTGACTATCAAAGCTCATAAAAATACATGAGATATTAAAAAGAAAAATTATAAAATGACAAAATATAATATTTACAGGTCCAAAGTAGAGTATTTCCAATATCATTTCTATTTAAACTCCTCTATGTATTAATTATTGATATTGTCAAATTAACTGTTGTACAAATATATTAATTTATATGAAATACAAAATTAATGTATTTATGTATCTTGTGTATGGTAAATACAATATAAAAAGCATTATATGGTATTGGTGCAATATTATACTACTGTGGATTCATTATTATAAGTGGAATACCAATTTTTGTGGATTTTGTGGGTATATGTAAACTACGAATTTAAATATTGAAAGAAGAACATATTTTCTGTAGGCTTGTATGTAGACTTTTGTAAAACCATGAAATAAGATATCCACGAAAAGTGGTACCCACGAAAATAAATCCACAGTTATATGTTATGTATATATATACTTGAATTATTTGTTTTGTAATTTGTAGAATAACCTACCAGTATATATATTTATATTTAAACCTGTGGAAGCTGACAATATTTTGGACTTAAGTTTTTATTTTTATATAACAAATCTGAAGAACACAAAGAACATACTTATCTTAAGTTATAAAGTATTCTTGCTGTTTACAGAAAGCCCTTTCCACACATTGATTTCCTAAGGACTGATTATGACTCTAAAATTATAACTAGGAGTTATTTGTTTTTCCTTGCAACTATTACTAGTATTTCCAAGAGGAATGGGGAGAAAAAGATTTAAAATTGTGTATTACTTCAATATATAAATACTTTTTAGCATGATAAGGCCAAATGAACAAAAATCAGTGTGTTTAGAATCTGCCGAATGGCCTTTAATAAGGATTACTTCACTTTAAAGTTTTCATCAACAAATCTTTTGTATTTTTTATCAAATGACACAACAGAGTTATTTAAAACCATGTTTGTCATCATCAACTCATTTATTGATGAATAAAAAATGGCAAATTTTCAGTAAAAGGTAAGGTATAATGCAGAAAACAGACTAATGAAGACACAACATTTTGCAGTTTGTTTGAAAAAAAAGATCCACTGACCATTATCTCTTTGGCAAGAAACTATAAACTCGTATATTTTTATTAGAATTGTGCTGATCTTAAGAAGTCACATGTTTATAGAGAAATGGCAAAGCAAAGGTATATTTTTCTAGTTTTGAACTTTACAGATTGTTTTATTTGAATGCCAAAATTTGTTTACATGGGCCTTTAATAAAGTAAGGTTATTTAATTTTGACAGAAGATATTAATATGTATATTTTTAGATCTTAAAACTATGTATAATATATAATCACCATGTTCTATTTTCCTCAAATAAATAGAATTGTTTTTTAGAACTTTATTTTTCTCCTGGTAAATTCATTTGTCTAATTTTTGGTTGTAATTTAAATGTTTATGCTTTGTATTTTGTGATCTCGGTTTTTTTTTTCAGAAAAAAAATTGTTTAAAGAGGAGGGCAAGATTGTGCCAAGTATAATTTTTCTCATTAAATAATTAGCTTTTTTAAAGCACTAAGCTTTCCAAAATTTGATTTAGTTGTTTTTGCAGAAACAACGATCTTAATGTAAGCAAGATGACTTCACACAAGTGAAAGTCATGGTTTCATAATTTTGTAGATTTTTGTTTTGTTTTTCTATTTTTCTTTACAATGTTAAATGTAATATATAAAATGATACAATAAATATGTATTTTCTGTTAAAATAAAGGTATTTTTAAGTTATTAATGGCACACTGTTTTCATTGTTAAAAAGTTATCATTAGAAATTTATGGCATACTGTAAATATCAAAAAGGTGAATCTATCACAATGCAGGATGTGTAATACTAAACTGTTCTGACATTTTCCTCATATCAGTTTTAAAGATTGTGTTTCAGAGATACTTACAGTATCAACCCCATTGACTGTTACTAAATTGTTAAATATTTTTTTAAGAATAATCTTTTTAATACATCGCATGCTCTTGAAAATGATTTTATTTACCCTTTATATGTTGGTTTTAGATGTATTATTATTTAAAAAAATAGTTTTTGTACCAAAATATAAAAAAAAGGAGGAAAATCATAAAGAATTTGAAGTAAATAGAACACACATACCATATACACATGTCTACATTTGAAAAACATATACATGTACATTTGAATTTTCATCATATAACTTCAAATAACAACCACGAAAGAGAGCTTCTACAAACTTTTGGTCTCTGGTGGCATAAACACCAAATCTAAATAACACAAACCCAAAAGCTTAATTTAATCTCACTTGCTAGTAACTTGATTTTCATATGATTTAATTTGCTTTAGGTGATTATGTACAATTCTTTTGTCAGACTGAACCAATCATATCTTTTTTTGTGTTTGTACTTTTGACTATTTCTGTTCATCCAGCATCCTGCATTATGATAAATTCTCCTTTTTTTACTCATTATTTATGTTACAGCTATAAATGACTGTAGTTTTGAAAACTGTATTTTTAAAACATGCCGAAATTCATTTGAATGTAGCTACACAATACAGGGTAAAATTAAAATAATGCACATCAATAATTTAAGAAAACAATTGGAATGTTAAATGCACATTTTTTAAATTTGTTATGAGCTGAGTTATGTCAGTATTGTCAGAGTAACAGTTGGTTATTAATTTGACAAAGGAGTAGCCCTAAAATGGCCCCTATTTCTAGCTAAAATTTCAAATAAGGAATTATTTACCAATATCGCAATGAATCATAGCTAATACAATGATTAGATGGAAAATATGACTTTTTGTTGAAAATTTACGTCATGCGTCGACAAAAAAAATCTTTTAACCTAGTGTTTGTGATGACATTTTACATATCTTTCTTGAATATTTAGTTTGTCGACGAGTGAGCTCTATGTTTCCTAGGCCTAAATTTTGTTGAAATCTGGAAGATTTGGTTAATTTTTTGCAAAAATCTCTATTTTTGACCTACTTGATGTAAAAATCAACGCTTTAAAATAAAAATTTGACAAAAAATAATTGTATTTAACTATCGCACATGTCTTTTCATCAACTTACTAGTAAAACACTTTTTGTCTTGAAACATTGAACTTAATAGTCGGGGCAGGACTAAATATGGCCCTCACCGACATTACTCCTTTGATAAAACTTGCTGTAAATTTCATGAAGATTTTTTTCAGGCTTATAAAATTTTGGAAATTAAAACAAACTTGTACAACTGGAAATGTTTAAAAGCCTGGCAGGACCAATATATATGAAAGTTAAATGCATTTTTAAAAGTATTTCAAAAAATAAAAACTTTTCTTGATTTTTATGGACATTTGACAAATGGCAATGATGAGCCTTAACAATTTTGATCAAAAATAATTTTCAGAAATTGGCTTAAAAACATAAAAGTGCCCTTTAATGAATCTCTGAAAGATAATTACCCAGTTTGAATAAAAAGATAAGTGGAATATTCAATATTTTTGCATCTTCAGCCGAAAAGGAGTAATAGGGCCTATGTAAACTCTTGTCATAACTCAGCTGGTGCACATATGATATTATTATTTTTTTCTGATCAATAGATATAGCATTATAAATTGATCTCCTTTAAACAATAATAGTGCCTAACATCCAAACAAACTGATCTATTTTTGCAAGGTTACTTCTAGTAACATGCCATCTTTAGTAGTTGAATAAAAATATGTTTAGAAGAACTGTTTATTCTTTCATAAATATATATATATCCTCCTGTATATCCCAACTAAGTGTTTGTTGTTGATGTTATTGGTATGAAGTTAGATCTTTGGATCACTCGGTCAAACTGAAGTTATAGTAAAGTATTCATTGAGTTATTCACATAGATATTTTTACCTATCATCTCTCCTTCACACACAAAGTAAGGAATGTTAATGGGAATCTGACTTAGAGTCCATATAGCTGTGCAACCATCTGTCATGATTAGTTTTTATGCCCCCGCCGTAGGCAACGGGGGCATTTAGTGTTACCTTTGACCGTCAATCCGTCTCATTTTCGTTTCCACACTCTAACTTAAGTTTGCCTCATGCAAATTTTATGAAACTCATACACAATCCTAAGAACCAAAACTTGCAGAGAGAGTTGAATTTGGGCAGTAAGTCACTTACCATTTTAGAGTTATGCCCCTTATAACTTGGAAAATTGGAATTTTTTTCGTTTCCAACTCTAACTTAAGTATTCCTCATCCAAACTTTATGAAACTCATACACAATGCTGAGAATCAAAATCTGCAGACATAGTTCGAATTTCGGCGGGGAGCAATTTACTGTTCTATAGTTATGCCACTTTATAACTTGGAAAATTGGAATTTTTTTCATTTCCAACTCTAACTTAAGTTTGCCTCATCCAAATTTTATGAAACTCGTACACAAATTCAGACAGAGTTCAAATTTGGGAAGTGAGTCATTTACCGTTCTAGAGTTATGCCCCTTTCTAACTTGGAAAATTGCAAAGCTTCAGCAGAGACATTTCTATCCTCAGACACATTCTACTTTTATTTTAGTATGAAAATAAGAAGATGTGGTTTGATTGCCAATGCGGCAACTATCCACCACTTGACAGAGATGAACACAACTACAGGTCACCATACTGCCTCCAATAAGGAGCAAAACTCATACTTAATAGTAAGCTTTATGGTTTAAATGTTTTTAGCTCATTGTGTCCTAAAAGCCATGTGAGCATCACTTGATGTTTGTTGTCTGTCTTCTTTAATTTTTTATGCCGTAGCGGAGGGGGCATTAAGTTTTACCCTTGTCCGTCTGTACGTACGTACGGATGTATGTCCCAAAATTGGTTTCCATTCCCTTTACTTAAGTTTGCCTCAACCAAATGTTATGAAACTTATACACAATGCTTATTACCACAAAATACAGATCAAGTTTGAATTTTGGTGGCGTCACTTAAACCGTTCTAGAGTTATGCCCCTTTATAAATGGAAAAATTGCAAAATTTTTAGTTTCCGTTCTCTAACTTAAGTTTGCCTTAACCAAATGTTATGAAACTTGTACACAATGCTTATTATCACAAAATACAGATTAAATTTGAATTTTGGTAGCGTCACTCTAACTGTTCTAGAGTTATGCTCCTTTATAAATGGAAAAATTACAAATTTTTTTGTTTCCGTTCTCTAACTTAAGTTTGCCTCAACCAAATGTTATGAAACTTATGCACAATGCTTATTACCACAAAACACAGATCAAGTTTGAATTTTGGTGGTGTCACTTTAACCGTTCTAGAGTAATGTCCCTTTATAAATGGAAAATTTGCAAAATTTTTAGTTTCCGTTCACTAACTTGAGTTTGCCTCAACCAAATGTTATGAAACTTATACACAATGCCTATTACCACAAAACACAGATTTTGAATTTTGGTGGCGTCACTTTAACCGTTCTAGAGTTATGCCTCTTTATAAATGGAAAAATGCAAAATTTTTTGTTTCCGTTCTCTAACTTAAGTTTACCTCAACCAAATGTTATGAAACTTATACACAATGCTTATTACCAAAAAATACAGATCACATTTCAATTTTGGCGGGGTCACTTTAACCATTCACGAGTTATGCCCCTTTATAAATGGAAAACAATGCAAAATTTTTAGTTTCCCTTCTGTAATTAATTTTGTCCCAACTAAACATTATGAGACCTATACACAATACTTATTACCACAAAACTCAGATCAAGTACAAATTTGGGTAGCGTCACATTTATCATTCTTGAGTTATGTCCCTTTATAATGTTGTATGCAAGTGGGGGCACATCTGTGTCCATGGGGACACATTCTCCATTTTTTTTTTCAAAATCCATTGAACCAATTTAAACTAACTTTAGGCTGAATTATCATGTGGGTATCTAGTATAAAGTTTCTTTGTATTATTTGCCTCTTCCAACATGGCAACATAGTAGATTTTCTCCCCTGATCTCTATGTATTGTTTTGAACATTATGACCTTGTACAGTCTGTAACTAAATGAAAGGAGATATGGAGTAAACATCCCAAGGATGACTGGGGATTAGAAATATTGTCACTCTTGGTCTTCTTTCGACCGGCAGTAAAACCCTTGCCAAAGTGGGGCGTCCTTTTGGCTGTGCTGATGTACAAGTAAGCATACAGCCACGTCTGGTCAGAATTGGGACGTTCAATATGATGCCTCGTGTAGAGGGAGTGCCACACTCTCTGCTCATTAAAAACCCTTGCTACATCTCTTTGAGGGGTCCGTAGGTGGCCTGTTGCAAGGCAAAATATCTGACCCTATCCAATATACCCTCATTTTCCAGTGGCAGTTCAAATTTCCCCAACCTTCTCCCTGGAAGGCCACTATTACAGTACCTTCCTAATGTATATATTGTTAATTTGTTCTCGTCCTGAATATGCATGAAATATTTGCCACTTGACGTTAAACTACCAACAATCAATCAATCAATGAGATGTTGCCCAAATGACCAATGGTAAAAAAAAAGATAAATAGAGACAAAAGGTCACCAGACAGTCTTAAACAATATGTCTATACAATATGCCAATCCCCTCATGTATTAAAGTTGTTGATTTATTTAAAAGAGAAAACAAAAGATCTGATATCTAAACAAAATTTCCCAAATGATAAATGACAAAGGTACACCAAAGAACCCAAAATTCCCCAAATGACCAGAGAATACTAAAGAACACAAAAATTTCCCCTATACAAGAAAACATAATGAACACAAAATTCCCTATTCACAAGAGAACACAAAAGAACAAGAAGGAACACCAAATTCACTATACAAAAGTACGTACTTAGTCATACTGTTATATAATAGAAGTTAAGTTCCGTAATAATATTAGATCCAAATGGAAGAAATATTCTGGAATATTATTTCCGCTTGAAGAAATTTTACCGTGACAGTGTTCGTTACTGTATAAATAAAGAGTCAATAAAGGGTACCGACTATGTGTTCCAATAAGAACAGATATTACAGCATTCTTTGTTTATAACAAAGGTTCTAGAGGAACTACTATTAGGACAAACAAATATAAAATAAATGTGGATAGTGTCCACATGTGAACAGATGATGCCCCCGCTTGCATATCATATAGTTATAAAGGGACATAACTGAAGAACGGTAATAGTGACGCTACCCAAATTTGAACTTGATCAGAGTTTTGTGGTAATAAGCATTGTGTGAAAGTCTCATAACATTTGGTTGAGGCTAACTTAAGTAGAGAACAGAAACTAAAATTCAGCAATTTTTCTATTTGTAAACACGCATACCTCTAGAACGGTTGTGTATACGTTTTATAACATTTGGTTAAGACAAACTAAAGTTAGAGAACAGAAACGAAAAATTCGGCAATTTTTATGTTTATAAAGGTACATAACTTTCGTACTTAATCTGTATTATGTAATAATAAGCATTGTGTATAAGTTTCATAACATTTGGTTGAGGCAAACTAAAGTTAGAAAACGGAAACAAAAAATTTGTACTTGATCTTAGTTTTGTGGTAATGAATATTTTGTATAGGTTTCATAATGTTTGGTTGGGGCGAACTTAAGTTACAGAATGGAAACTAAAAATTTTGCAATCTTTCGATTTATAAAGGGGCATAACTCAATAATGGTTAAAGTGACACTACCCAAATTCAACTTGATCTGTGTTTTACCAGTGGAGGTCAAAATTAAACATTGCATTGTATAAAGCATTGATTGTAATTGATTCAACTATAATCATGGACAAAGGAAGATAACTCCAATTTTAAAAATAAAAATTACTTGACATTTAGAAGAAGAAAAAACATTTTGCAATTTTTCCATTTATAAAGGGGCATTACTCTAGAACGGTAATAGTGACGCCACCAAAATTCAAACTTAATCTGTGTTTTGTGGTAATAAGCATAGTGTATAAGTTTCATAACATTTGGTTGAGGCAAACTTAAGTTAGAGAACGGAAACTACCAATTTTGCAATTTTTCCATTTATAAAGGGCATAACTCTAGAACGGTTAAAGTGACGCCACCAAAATTCAAACTTGATCTGTGTTTTGTGGTAATAAGCATTGTGTATAAGTTTCATTACATTTGGTTGAGGCAAACTTAAGTTAGAGAACAGAAACAAAAAAATTAGCAATTTTTCCATTTATAAAGGGGCATAACTCTAGAACGGTTAGAGTGACGCCAACAAAATTCAAAGTTGATCTGTGTTTTGTGGTAATACGCATTGTGTTTAAGTTTCATAACATTTGGTTGAGGCAAACTCAAGTTAGAGAACAGAAACCAATTTTGGGTCGTACGTACGTACAGACGGACAAGGGTAAAACTTAATGCCCCCACCGCTACGGCGGGGGCATAAAAAAATTTAACTCTATTTTGAGAAAAAAACATGCGACAAAATGTTTAATTAAGTTTCTGGCGAATTTAGCATACCCGTACAATAAAGCTAGTGATCAATGAAGACAAACAACTTAGACCACTTGGCCACTGAGGTCTCTTCTACTGGAAAACCTTGGTGATCCTCACATCTCACTTTACCAGAACAATGCTCAATTAAAAAGAAACTTGGAATGTTTTTACATCAACAGTGCACCTATTACGGTCTTTTTATATCACATGGACTTATAACAGGTGAGCAATTGCCATCACTTTGCTTTTTATCGATGATGTAAACTTTTCAAGAATCTTTTCTCTGAAACAACTGGACAAATTTAGGCTGTG